AAGTGGTAATGGCGGAGGAATATAGTCATTATGTTCTTCATAACGTAATTCTCGCCGACTGGATTTACTGTTGAGACGATCAGCAGAACGGCTCAGATGTTGCGCTTGTTGTTTTTCAGAACTTTTACTTGTCGATGGTATACCGGCGATGGATGTTCGACTTTGATGTTGTCCTTCGACTCCGCCTCCACAACGTATGGATGAGAAGATCGTGTTGGAGTAACGACGAGATGTGTCACGATAGATAACACTATTTGAATTATTAACTTTATCGTTCGATTGATGGTGGTGACGATGGTGATGAGAGGATGTTTTCGGAAGATTTCTCTCTTGATTTTCGTTGGCGACGGGATTGATGGCGAGTGATGAATGAGTTGGTGAAAGAGGTTTCTAAAGAGAGAGAAGAGAAAAAGAAAATTTCTACTCTTTTCTTCTTTGTTTTAATCGCCTGATCTTCCTCGTTTTTTCAGGAAAGAAACATTTTCTCTCGCATCGATTGTTTTTCAAAACAACAGAGAAAAAACGTATTGAAGTAGATTATCCTCTTAACAAAAGTCTAACATTTACCTCACTCTCTTTTATTCCTCAATTATAAGTAAAGAAGAAGAAATGACAAGATTCCATTCATGTGTAAAACGACAATGGACTTTTTCTTCTTTACTTAATCAAAGTAAAAAAAAAGAAAAAGAGGAAGAATCTATTTCAACGATAAGAAATCTTTCAATCCTCTTAAGTAGAGAGATAGAGGGAGTGCAGAAAAACTTCTTGAAAAGGTCCGATATACACTTTTTCTTTTTCTTCTTCTTTGCAGCTGTACTATCTGGATCATCCACTGCAACAAAAGAGGGAAACCTTAAAGTAAAGTACATATGTTTGCTGTTACGAACGAGGACATTACATCAATAGGGACAAACAACATCCGTTTTCTCTTCTTCTTTTCTTCTCATTATTGTTTTTCTTCCTTTTTTCTCTCATTCCCACAAGACTACAAATGGTAAACGAGATCCAGTCTATCGATAATCGATCACAGTCTTACAGACATGGTCGTATGTCATCTCCTACAAGAAAATCAAATGTCTACCTGTTCGGCTGATAGAATAGAATTCAGAAATGATCATCCATCAGCATAAGTTACCAGTGATCAGCACATTTCATTAGTATGCATAATCAATTACTTGTCCCTGTCCGTTTTTTTTGTTTTACACGCTTTGCTTTTAGTTTGTCTCGTCTGCCGGTGTTAGTTTATTTGATCTAAATCATTTCTTGCCCGACGCGACGTCAAGGTGTAGCGTTTAAAATTCTTCTCTTCGTTTTTCTTTCTCACTCTCTCCCTTTCGCGCTTCGATGTTTGTACATGTAATTGTAAAAGAGGGTAAATTCATCGTTCAAACGTGCAGATGGACGCACATTTTCGTATTTACTATTCACTGTCGCGCGATGATGAGTACGTATTAGATCGGCGGTCGCGCCGTCTGATGTCAGTTGTAGTTATACTAATAGTATTAGTCATGCTAGTATCTGCTCTTTAGCATAACTATCGGACTCGTCATGATACGAACTCGAACCGTACTGAAGAAAGAAATGGTAAAATAACAACAATTAATCCTTATGATATCTATAAAGGAAGAAGAAAAACTGCGAATGCAATTAAGACAATTTGATTTCAGTTGTCGTCTTTTGTTTGAAAGACCACATACTTGCACAATCTATATCGTCATTACGATTATTGTCGGCGTCATTGTTGTTGTTGTTGTTGTTGTTCTTTTGATTGTAAGCTACACTTATTCAAAAAAATGTAGATGGCAACTTGAAGGTTATTAATATTAACGTCCGTCGAACATGTCGCAGAAAAAAAGAAAAACCGCAACACAAAGAAAAAAAGAAAGAAGGAAGAAAAGCGCAAAATATGATGATGATGATGAGGATGATGATGATGTTAGAGTGTCGTCTGCTCTATTTTTCTCTCTCAGCGCCTCACTGCTTTTCTTGTGGAGCGCCGGCTTTTGTTACTCTTACACATTGCATTCGTTGTGTGAACGATTTGTTTTGTCATAAGAACGACGATGAAAGAATGAGTGAACATCGGAGAGTTTTTGCTTTCCTATTATTATTGAACGATGATTTGTCGCTCATTCGTTCTCGAGTCACTAAGAAAACAAGCGAATCACTATATCGTAAAATTAGATAAGCACATAGCACGTGAAGGCATGCGTTAGTCTCGTATAACACTGCGGATGAAAAAAAAAAAGGAATGTGTAGACGAATGGAACAGGAAGCCAACTTTTATGGTCTCCATCATATTCATGTCTCGGGTTTTCTTTGTACTCACTTCAACGGTAGATAGATCAGAAAAAAGAAGAGCGAGAAAAAAAGATTCTTTCTTTTTTGACAAGAAATACACCTCGACAATTGAATTGTGTTTGACTAATCGACTGTCTTACGTACGATCTTGTCTCCATTTGAGTATAAGAGAGATCTTTCGATAACAGAAACAAAGCACAATATAATAACTATATGAAAGAGAAATACGTCTTTCTGATGTACGTTTATCCATTTGTCACTGCTATTCAACAACAACAAATGTCCTCATCTATCCATGTATATTGATAACGCACAGCGCTCGTATGATAAACAATATAAAACAGAAACACTCGATGTATTAAAAAATCATATTTCTTTTTTTTATGGCAAGAAAACGAAGGGATATGAAGAAGAATTATTTCCCGGTGTCTGTGTTGATGCAAGTTGGAAGAGAAGAAGAAGAAGAAGACGAAGAAGGAGAAGGAGAAGATAGTGATGATGACGAAGGAGAAAGAAGAACAAAAAGATGAGCAACATGTATTCGCGTAAATTATAGCCGACAACAAGAATATGTCTTCTGTTAACTATGCCATTGAAAGACAAGATAAATCGACAATGAAAAAAGAAGAAGAAAACTAGAGAAACTATGATGATTGCCCGAAAAAAGAAGAAGAAGAAGGAGTAATTAGATAAATGCTAGTGTTTGATTTCCTACGGATCTTCTTATGTTCATGGGAAAAAAAAGAAATCCTCTTTCGAATGATGATAATCGTAATGAATGAGAGCCGCAATTGCTACTTACATTTTCGTCTTGATCAGTGCTATCTCGTTTGGAAAGGTCATTTTCCGACTTAGTCCGAGACTGTTTCTATAATTAAAAAACGAATCGTATGTCCCACATGTCTCCAATTTGGTTTTTGTATTAATGTATACATGTCCCATCTGACGTTCCATGTCTATATTTAGAAAACTTACTTTAACACGAAATAACTTCATTGCACTATAATGAGAGATCAACAGGCACTAGACAGCGTGACTAACGGCTCTCTAATACCGATCTCTCATGATAATAATAACAATAACAACCAGTATAACACGAAGATGAAACGTCGATTAAAGAACTAGAAGCTCATCATCATCCTTATATTACTCGTAGTTATGAGAGAGAGAGAGAGAGAGAGAGAGAGGAAAAAGAACGATTTCCTGTTCTTCTCCTTTTTTTTTCAATTTTTTTTCAACATGCTATATACGCACGCATTCATAGAAAACGTCTAACGAGCCATCACATAAACGCCTAGATATCTAAGCCACACGATTCAAACGAAGGAAAGAAAAAAAAAGCTAAAACGACCGTTATAGTAGAGTAAAGAATAATAAGAATCTAAAAACATTTTTTCATTGAAAAGCCTACGTATTGAACTGCACTACCGCATGATTTTTAAGCTTTTATCGAGTCAATAATCAACCATAGACCGCTCCCGTTTACGAAAGAACAAAAAATAACGTTTTCTACTAGTTAAGTCCGCAGTCGAGGAAAAACTAGAGTGATTAAGTGTGGTTTCCGATGAGTACTTCCATACTCAAATTAGCAGTGAGCACTTTCCGTAGTAGAAATGGCAACTATTGTCACGGTTATCAGATAACACGCGAGAAGATATTCAGTTACATCGATACTGATATTGAATCCTCATGTAATCAAATTTCTATTTGATCAAAAGAAGAAATCATAACATACATTTCTTCTTTTGATGTCGATGACGCAAGTGAACATATTGAACTCTTCAAAATAGCCAGCAAGTGTACTGACGTGTGCAACTCACACATATTAATAGAGACAAATTTCGATATAATGATGATGTTCAATGAATCTGTCACCTAGATCGAAAATCAAAACTATCAACTNTTCGTCGTTCGAGTTCTTGAATTAAGGCATCACTATGTGTATAAGTACCTGTTTGCAATAGAGTATCGCGATGTTCAATTAAAACGCCTAGTTGTTGATCGACCTGCTCGTATTGTTCAGTGTCGTCGGAGAGTGTTGACATTGTTTGCAAACCGTGACCAAGAATTGTCGGTGTTGAAGAGACTTCTTTCAATCTAGAAAGCAGTGTTCAGCTTTTATTCATCATCGATTGTTTGCTTCTTACTTATTCAATTCGTTTTTGATGCCTTCTAATTGTTTATGGTCATTTTTCATAATTTCATTTTCTTCTGCAGCTAAGTATCTACAAGCAACGAGATTGTCAAAAAGGTTTGATGCTGATTTTCTTCGAAAGTTTACCGTAATCGCATGTGTTCGACCTCTTGCATTTGTTTTTGTAGCGCAACTTTCGATAGATCGTCCTCTCGTTGTTTCAAACGTTGATATCCTTTCAAAGCTTTCACCCATTGTTGTTTATAACGTTCGCCTGATGCTAACGACGCATCTAATTTGCGTTGCAGTTCGTTCTAAAGAAAATTCAATCAACTAATTCGAAATTCATCCAAAGATTTTCTTTACTTTTTCCAGCATCAGCATATTGATTTCAGCTTGAAGTTTAACTTCAGGTGCGCTGCGTTGCTTTTCTTTGTAAGTAAAAAGTTCCTGTTCTTTGTCGCGATAGCGTTTCTCCCACTCGGCTACGGAACGTTTTAAACGAATGATCTCATCATCGAGTGCTTGATTCTTGCTTCTAAAACAACAGGATATGTTTTTGTTAGGCGGACAGTGATGATGATGATGAAAGAAGGTATTTTTGAACACGGAAAAAGGATACGTTATTCTTAGATGAAGATCAAAGAGGATTTTGTACTTACTTTTCTAGAGTAATTGTATGTTCGGATTGTTCTTGTAAGCGTTTGGACGCTTCACGTATTTCAATGTGTTTACTGTCGTATTCGCGTTTGAGATCGACTTGCATGCGTTGAAGCTGAAAATGAGAAGATTAACGAAAGCACAGGGATAGAAAGGATTCTACTTCTTGTTCGTTGATGCTCATTTGTTTTTCACGCTTTTCGATATCTGCTAAAGCTTTTTTCATTTGCTTTTCCAATTCTCCGTATTCCTTCATCTAGAAAGCAACCGAAACTACGAATCTATGGAATGAGATTGAAGTTTCCCATACCTTTTTTTGTAATAACGATTCTCGTTCGCGATCTTTTTCTTTGAACGCTTCCATCAACTCGTACAGTTTCTTTGCTTCAACCTCACGTAACTAATCCGAAAATTCAAGAATAAATTTCAAAATGTTTGTAAGTATTAAACACAAACATGTTTTTCAAATTCAAGTTCTTTGCTCTCTTTCCATAATTGTAATTCATATGCTGCTTGCAATTGTGCATCGTCATTCGGACGTTGAAAAACATGATCAAGACCAAGTTGCTGCTTTGAAACATCCAACAGAATAGATATATGTTTACAATTAAACGCAAATCATACCGGAGGCACGGATTGAGGCCGAGGTGTAGTTGTCGAATTGAGTTGCAATGCACCAAAATCCTCTATTACTACTGTAGCTAACAATTCTCCGCATTTTCTGAAATATTTTAATAGAATTTCGCTGTGACCATCGAACATTTCTTACTCTGTATTTGTTCCGATCAGTGGCAATGCTTGAGTCCATGTTTGTCTCCATCCGAGAATTCCATTCGTCGTTGATGAACAACGTTGTTTTTCCATTTGTAAGACATGATCTAATTGAAGTCGAACAATACCAAATAGCTGATCTTTACGTTCGCTACGTTCGTTGTCTCGACAGTAAACTTCGATTGTTAACGGTTCGCGATGGAAGTGTGTTTGTAACTGTTCGGAATTGACCGCAAAATTGAATATACATAGACCATGCGGCAATAAATGTTCGTTCGGTGGCGCTGATGATGTATAAGGAATGTGTAGAGGTGGATGGGTCAAGATCGGTGTTGATGTGCCCAGAAATGGATACACATAGCGGCAATATAAATACGCAGAATGGGATAAACGTAGATTACGAAGAGATTTCAGATCTATAGATAGACAATAATGATGAGTAAGATGGTGATTGTTATTCGAATGATCGAAAACAGGTGATGGAAGACGATCATCGTTTGTTGCATGGTTGTTTATAGATAGTTGTTGTATGCGTGGTTGAGTATTGGATCTGGAAAGAACTCGTTGAACTATGAAGAGGTGAAAGATCTTTCTTTACCTATTTTCGTTTTCTATAGTTGTAGCACTTGAATTGTGGTTATTCATACTGTTCGATCGCATCCGACTCTGCTTGGGATTATCGATATTTTGTTCATTAGTAGACGTTTCACGCACTAATTTAACTTCAATTTTAACTGTCGGCTGTGAATCTTCGTCGTCAAGGTTCGCTAGGCTTATTTCAATACCAGGTGGTGGACTTAGACGAAGATAGAAAACTTCTGTTAATATATCAAAAGTTTTCTCCATGCTGGCACTTTGTTGCAATGGTTTCATAACTTTATGCAGAGGAATTTGCGTTTGACCCACGATGTTGTCTCCTGAACATAGACGAAAGTCAATGGAATGGAATCGCTCGAAATATGCTCGAAGTGATTGAATCGTTGAACGTATGCGAACGCTCGAGCGTTCAGGAGGAAAGTCTGGCTGAACTAAATCTTGAAACTTTTGTGTCAGCACACCGTTTCCGAAGAGGGTGTAGAAGAAAAAGTATTCGTCTTGTTTGTTGAGATTTGTATCCGATGGAATCAACTAAAATCGATCAAATAATGTAAGATTGTAAGAAGAGAAAAAATAGAATTACGTGAATAAGATTTTTAGCTGAGAAAGTTGTAATCGACAAGGAAAAGATTTCTGCGGCAGGAATATCAGCACCTAGTTGATAGTATCCTTTGTCAACAAGAAGAACTGGTTGAAATTGTTTGGAACGTGATGATCCCGTACTGGTATTCGTTACTATTTTACCTAGCGAGAAAGAAGCGCTTTTCATACGAAATATAATGAAAAAATGTCTTCGATTTTACTCGTTTTCGATGCCGTTGATGCGCTCTTGGATGTTTGATCATCTTCAATGTAAGCACAGATACTAAGCTCTGGCTTTAATTTACCAAATTTTGTTTGCAATAAACGACACCAACGAATCGTCTGAAAAGGAGCATATATCACACTCAAACACAAAATTATGAACGACAGATGCATTACTCGAGTGGTAGTCAGCGGTCGAATGTCAATCATAAAGTAACCAATGTTTTCCCGAGACCCCGATGTTGCGGTTACATAAGCATTGCATTTGATCACACTTCGTTGTAATTTATGCTGCTGAAAGGTTTTCTTATCAAGTTCCCATGCTAATTCCTGATTGATATCCGGCGTTGAGGAGAATTCTACAGGATCAGTGATGAGAATCTCGCCATCGAATTTAGCATCGACGGTCAATTGACATGATGATTGATTTGGAAAGTGTCGACCTGAAAAATGTTAGGTTTGGAAAGTTCGTGGCGATTGGTGAAGAAGAATTACCTTCGAGAATTGAAACAACTAGAAGAAGACGATCCTGTTGAGGCATTTACATCGGCTGATAAGTAAAACTCTCTTTAATTTTCTAAGCTTGGACAAAGAATAAATTCAGTGGTGAGTCATCAAAACCATCGAATGCATTTGTTACTATGGAAACAGACTCAATAGAGAAATTGCCATAAATTTCTCACAAAATATCATCGAACGCTTAAAATACAAGTTCAAACATTTATTTACTTCAAGGAAGCTCGAAAAAAGAATTAAACGATTCAAACTTGTCACGATAGATGTCATTGTCACACTTTCGGTCTCAACAATACAATATTGTGCTAGATCAAAAAAAACACACTGCTCAGCTCAACATATGTGATCTGACTCAAGTGTCACATGTACAGTTGAGAGTTTGCACTACACGTTCGCGTCGATCATTCCACCAATTCAAAGAACACTTCATCCGATAAAATCATCACAATGATGAAAAATGAAAACAAACACTCGTCAGAAAAATCGATGTCGTTTAACAAATATGTAAATGTGTATCGTTAACTATCCTTCTTTAAACATTCCCAAAAAAAACAAAGAAACTCTGTTTGGCAACATAGAACAAACAAATTCAATCTCAATCACTTGGGCGAGCCGTTTTCTCCTTCTATCTTATGACAAAGTTCATTCTTTTTTTGTCACAATAACAACAACGACCTGAATATAATTTTACTGATTTACATATCGAAGTATTCTAACAAGCTTATTTTCTTTTCTTGACAGATCTATACACAGAAACATTAAAAAAATCTCATTACAACCATCTAATCAACTTCTTGGCATTATTCCAACAACACTTGAAGACAGTTTTTCTTTTTCTCTAGTGATTCTCATTCCATACCTTGTTGTCGAATGTCATGTTTATAAAAACATAAACTCTCTTGATTGTCGCGCATATTTTCTTCGCTAAACAAGCAAATGAAACATAAATCTGTTGAACATCTTCTCGAAGCGATTCAACAAGGTAAGTTAAGTCAAATCATCTCGCTGATCAAATACGAACACAATATCTATGTGAAAAACAAATTTCAACAAAATCTTCTCGTTTACATCCTTCAACAACAACGGCAAAAACAGGATCTTTCATTAATACAAAAACGTTTTCAAATATTCAAATACTTAATCAAACAGCACAACCTCGATATTCACTCACTCGATTCCTATGGAAAAAACCTCTTCAACTGGGCGACGAATTTAAATTGTACAAAGGAAGCCCTGTTTCTACTGAACTCATATCCGGGCGACATTGATCTACTTGTCCGAGACCAATCGGGTTCGTGTTCTTTACATTACGCTGTTGAACACGGAAACGAAGTTCTTGTTCATGCAATTGTTAATTATCTATTACGCTATCGATTGAGATTCGACATTAAAGATGCGTACGACAATACACCAGAAGACTTAGCAATGAAATTAGGCTATGAAGACATACATCAGTTTTTGAATCAAGCATGTCCAGCGACAATATACATGGCAAGAGAATTACCGTCCCAACAAGCACAAATAGCGAAAGTATCACCGTCGACATCGGTTTTATCTGAGTATTACTCGATGATTGAGACACGGATCGGTGCAGCCAAAAGTATGGATGATTGGAAAACAGTTATAGCATTGCGAGCGTACCGAAAAAGTATGCCGAATCGAAAATCGAATCAAGCACGTAAATATCTTTCTTTTAAAATCTGCACATTTCTTTAAACTTTGTCTTCGTTAGTTGAATCCCTTCCTCAACCACACGCACGAAAATCGTCGATTCCGAGTCTTCCGTCGATTGTCTCATCTGAGCACCCACCTGCAACAAACGGTAGTCAGCAATCCGAACAAATGTTACGTTTGTTTGAACTACATTTATCTCCTTCGTTTCGTCGATCTTTTGTACCTGTTTGTCAACGAACTCCTCTTCCGATTATAAACCATCAACGTTCGACCAACGGACATCACAAAATCGGTCATTCCTCACCTGGTCACATGTTATCTAATCTACATATTCGTAAAACCGATTCTGATCCCAACCAAACCAGCTCGTCGACTCTACCGGATCCATCAAATCATCTCACCATTCCACCAATTCATAAACAACATCGTCAGACACTACTGACCACGAATTGACTTATGTGATTGATCTTTTCGCTCGAAAATGACGATTAATCATACAAGACACTTTTGCTTCTTCTCTTAATCAAACATTCAATCTCACCGATCTTTTGATTTTTCAAACGCCAACAGAGAAAAAGCTATTCGCACATCGTCACCATCTTTAATGACATCATTCGATAAAAAGACCATGCAGATCATCTGATCTCATTCTTCTGTGCTTTTTTCACTTTGACAATGATTAGAAGAAAATAAGTATACGAAGACAACATGTCAATTTGACGATAATTACCGCTAACACATTCAACCATATGGATGTTCATTATGAGAGCAAATGGACAGGTCACACATTAATCATAAAGATTTGAAATTGTTAATTTTGTTAGCAAATTAAGAAGAAAGTGAAGATTCAATTAGACTAGTGAATTTAATCTTCTTTACATTAACTAAGATATAAAATCACACATCATGTCAGGAAATTAGTCTTGACAGTAATAGTAACGGCCTAATTAATCATTCGATGAACTTTACGCTCATTTCTTTTTTTCATTGAATTAAAAAGAATTTTTCGGCAAAAAAATGGAGAGAGAGAGAGAGAGCAAAGGAATTCATCTTCTCTTGCATGTCGATGAAACTCTCTTCTCATCTTTTGTTGTCAATGTCATGATTAACACTCCAGATAGAATACAATCAGGTGAGAAAAGCTTTGATATGAACTTCAGCTAATGATGACGTTAATTGTCAAAGACAAGATTCTTTCGACATCATGTCATTGAACTTCTCCTTTCCCGGTCGATGAAAGAACACGAATTTATTTCGAAGACTCGTTAGAGCTAATTGACTTTTCACAGCAGGCAATTGAGTAAGAGGAAAAGAAGTGAACTGTTCTGCATTGTCGTTACAGAAACCGCTAATTAAAATTCAGCAAATAGGATATAACACATCGAGAAAAAAAAAGAATCACTCATTCAATCAGCGTTCAAGCACCTTAATCGAATCAACTCTAAAACCTAAACAATCAAATCGTGATGATGCATTATCCCTGCCATCAGTCTGCCAAGCAAAGCTTCTTTAACATCGACCGAGAGAAAAAGCCGAGTTTCGAACCATAAATAGAAATGTCACGCTAGTTAATTATGTATTAGAATAAACACAAACATATTCATTATATCTGTAATTGAAATTTGTTTAATAATGATAAATATTTCCATGTACCGAGCTAAATTGAATGTTCTTCTATGTTATATGTATAAAACAATTAGAAAGAGCATGACAAAATATAATTAGAAAAAGAAAGTTTCATCTTGGCGAGTTTATTTCTTCTGCAATATATGTCAATCGAATTTGTTGATAGTAGAAATTGGCCCGCCTCATCTTCATTGGTTAGACGAGTTCATAATTACATCCGTCTTTGCCATTCGTCCTGTTATTGCTTTTTGGACGAATAGAAAAAAGCAATGAGAAAAAAAGAAAAGAAAAAGAGAAGAGTAACAATTTTGATTAATGTTCTGCTCTTTTTCTTCCTTCGTCTCTCTTTCTCTCTTTTCATCATTACATTACTAACCTATTCAGCACAATCATTATTAGATTATTCATTAAATAAATTAAAAAAACAACACAGTCACGGACCTGAAGAAGGAATCAGACGTTAGACTATGAAGAGCGAAGCAAACTCGGCGGTAACAACAAGTGATGATCTATCAGATCCGAATAATCTGAGAAGAGTTCATTCCATTGAGGCAATACTGGGTATCAAAAACGGAGAGAACTTTCATCAGCAACATCCATTTGCGGTACAATTTTTCCCTTCGGCAATGCCAATGCATCACACAAGCAAAAAACGACATTCCGATGGACCCTATCCAGATGGTAAGTGAAAAAGTCGAAATGAAAGTTTGAGTTTGATTTATTTTGTGTATTGAATAGCGAAGGCAGTTCGTCGCGTTAGTGATGAAACCGATGCACTGAGTAATAGTAAAAGTAATGGCAATTCGGATGATGATCTTGATGATGATAATGACAGTCTTGATCACTGTTTAACAAATAGTCAACATAGTTCGAAGAAGAAACATCGACGAAATCGGACAACATTTACAACATTTCAATTGCATGAATTAGAGCGTGCTTTTGAAAAATCTCGTAAGCTATATTTAAGGAGAAATGCATGTAATCAACTAATGCTCTTTAGATTATCCTGATGTATACAACCGGGAGGAATTAGCAGGTAAAATTAGCCTACCTGAAGTTCGAGTACAAGTTTGGTAAGTCATACATGATTTCTGCGAGTAGAGGATTATAATTGTTTTCAAAATCAGGTTTCAAAACCGTCGCGCTAAATGGCGTCGACAAGAAAAAGCTGAGGCGAATACATTAAAAATCAATCCGGATTTTCCGATGTCGAGTTTTCCAGCCACGACGAAGACGAATCCGAACGCGTCTGCCTCATCACCCTCATGTTCATCATCATTACCCATCGATCCGTGGCTTGTTAATCCATTCACATCATCGAATGGATCGAACAATGCCAGTAATATTCCATTTTTCCCCGCGAATTGTAACGTCTCATCACTTTATTCGTCGTCAAACTATCCAACTCCACCGCTTCATCATCCTCCGTACGGTTCGTTTTCAGATGCGAATGAAATTTTAAATGAAACAAATAATAATAACAGTTCAATTGCTCACTTACGTATCAAAGCCAAAGAATACATGAATGCAATCATTGGCACAACAAATAACACGGAAAATCACCTTGCATGGCCGCAAGGTGTATAAGAACCTGACATTTCTTTGTTTTTTTCTTCAAATTATGTGTATTCAGAGAGAATTTCCTTTTTGTGCTGCTAACATTTGTTTTCTTTTTTCTATATATGCATATATATATATATAAATTTGATTCAATGAATTGGTTAAGTACTTCAATTTTGTGCTCGATGTATAGATATGTTAGTTTATAGTTCTTTTGTATGCAGAAAAAAGTAAGCCGACATTGTCAGATAATTGCTGACAGACATCGTTATCATTGCCTTCCCCTACTTAGTCTTTCTTTCTCGTCTCTATTAATTCATTTTGAATATAATGACGATCAATTTTGTGTATTGCAAGCAGTTAGACGCACGCGACGAGATTAATAGAAACGTAAGAGACCGAGCCGGTAACGAAGAAAGAGAACGAGAGGCAACAAAAACTCAAATATTATTACTTCAATTACCGTCACGCTATGTCAATTGTTTAGATGAAGATTCACCTTTTTCCCTACCCCCGTATAACATAATTAATTTTCTGCTCGAATGGACTGATGTGTGCTGATTACTTCATCATCATCACACCATACAAAGATGATAATTGATTTCGACTATACAATTGATTTCTTATCAGGCAAAATACTTCAAGACATTACCTTTTGTCACACAATGATGATGATAGACCCTAAGGCAATGAAGACAATTCTCAGGAGATATTATCCAAAACAATCATGTCATTTGAATAGGAAACAATTTTATCGATTTACATATCTAATGAATACATCGATTGTAAGAAATACATTTTTGGATATTCACTCTGTTCTATTACCGTCAATTATAAATTTAGATTAATTGTATGATAGACTATACGTCGAATCTCCTAAAATAAATCAATCGACGCAATAAATGATTTATGATTTTATTTCACAACGCACTTGACTTACCAAGTCATTCTATAAGACGAAGACACAGTTGGTCGTGCTATTCCGGGACAAAGCTTCACGGCGAAGTTCGAAAATCAGAGGAAGCTGTGGGTGCGATCAACAGATGCTTTTCGAAATATGTTTTTGGAATGAATTAAGTTGTCAACGAAGAAACGAGCTGTAAACTGGCGACCTCTTTTATCGGCAAACGCTGTGTTACTTATCTGCATATGTATTTTTTCTGTTTCTTTGTTCGTTGATTTCTATTCGACGAAAAAAAACCCGTTGTTGTTTTTTTTTCTGAATATTATTAATAAACTCTGGAATCTTAATAGATTTTTCTTTTTCTTAAATGATAAATATATAATAAGTGTCAAGTCAAACAAAGGACAAACCTCGACGAAAAATGTTTTACTTATGAATCAATTTCAAATAAATTTGATTTAGAAAAAAGCAACTTTTGTTTTTCTCCGAAAGAAAAGGCCGTGTCGTGACGGAAAAAAAACAGAGAAAATCAGCTGGATCTCGTTTTGTTGATTTGTTTATTTTCTATTTAAGATATCCTTTTTACGACGATCGATAAAAATTAAATACTTTGTTTTGTTTTTAACTTCAAACGGAAAAAAATGACATCAACAACTGTTGCTCAGCATACTTCACAACCATTGAATTTTGGACCTGAATGGTTTGTTAACGAGTTTTCTTTCACAGATTTCTCTATTCTGTTTTGAATTCGATCGACTAGGCTTCGAGCATTATCAACGCCTGACTCGGCGACGTCGATTCCAACATCGGGGGGCAGTACAAGCGGAAATATTTTCAAGTTTTCAGCAACAAAATATCGTTATTCGAAAGATGAAATCTTGGCATTACGTGTGAATGTTGCTGACCGTTTGGCCGATGCGACGCAAAACGAGATTTTGGACAATTTAAAAGATGTGGAGAACGTTTTTCGAGCAAATATCCTAGAACCGTTGGCTTTAACTCCACCAACAGCAGATGAAACTGTAAGAAAACTGACAAGTTTGATGACAGGATTTAAAACTCGGTTTCCTTTAGATGAAAATGAATGCTTTATCAAGTTACATATCAGGCCGAACACCCGGTGGCGCAGGTCGTGCTGGGAGCAACAGTCAACAATCGCAACAGGATTCACGAAGTAGTCGTGGCGGTAGTTCAATGTCAAATGGACGTGGTGGTCCGCGCAGTCGAGGCGGACGCGACAACACGTACGGACCGAATCGTGGCAATAGCAATAATAATAATTCAGATGATAGTGGTGAGAATGGTAATACTAATGAAGAAACATCAACATCGTCAACTTCGTGGTCACGTAGTAATTATAATTCACGAGGCGGTTCGTTTGGAAATCGTGTACGATCTTTTGATGATCGGTAAGTAATGTTGATTGACGAACGAAACAATTCATTGCTTGTTTTCTTTGAATTTGCCTAGTGATCAATCTCATACTTTCCGCCGCGGTGGCGCCAGCGGTTCGCGACAGTCATCCGATGGTTGGCGTCGATCCCGAGGTGATGAGGATGACAATGAACAGAGTGAAGATTCACCGACAACGGCAAACGGGTCAACTTCGTGGACATCGCGCAGCGGACAAACAAGACGCGGTGGCAGCACTAGTTCAATGGAACAAAGAACGAAATCCAGTGAGAAATGGAGTGTTTCCGATGATCGACCTGGTGAGCTGAAATGTCGTTCGCACTTATAAGATGTCTAACTTTGAATATTCAGGCCCATCAAATAGTTATGAATCCAATCAACAACGCAACGGTGGATGGCGAACGAACTCATCGACATCAGACCGCGATTTCGGTTCACGTCGTCCTCCTGTGAAACGTGATCGTAGGTGGCAATTTCATCGATTCAAATGCCTATCTCTACTTCGTTTAGGTATGCCGGAGTGGATGGATGATAACAATGACGACGAAGACGATAATCAACTGAGTAATGCAACATTCGAACAGGATGGAACATTCACTAGATCATCAGCCGCTCGACAAAATAGTAGTAGTGAACAGCATAGAACAGAATCCCAAATAACATCTAATGAACCAGCTGTCCAAGCAAATAATCCTGTACGTATTCTCGTTCATGTTGTTCTCTCATCTTCTCTATTTCAATCCTCTGCGATTACAGACACCAACACAACAAGAGGACGGTACAAAACCTGAAAAATCAAAATCAAAACCACAAACCGATACAGCCGTCGTTAATGTTCCGGCTGCTTCCGAACCTACTGGTGAGCTCAAATTTGTGTTTCATTCAATGATGTCTATAATCGTTCTTGTTTAATAATATGCAGTGACTAAACCCACACCCCCGGTACAACAATCTATTCCCTCATGGGATGATGATTTAGATCATAGTGACTTGGCAACAACTGTGGTAGAAGCAACTCTTGCAGAAGTAGATAATAAACTTACTTTCTTGCTTCATTCACGCTACTCTATCTTCTAGGATCATGAATATTCACCTCCCGTTTCTGCTCATTCGAAATCTCGCCTTATTTCCATGGAACCAACGGCTTCAATCATTCCACAAGCACGTGCACCCGTGATTATCGATGATAAACAATGGTTTTATAAAGATCCGCAAAATATAGTGCAAGGCCCTTTCTCATCAGCTGATATGGAACGATGGTATACGGCCGGCTATTTTACTACTGTTTTACCTGTGAAACGTTTGGGTGAAGTTCACTTTTCGACTATTCAACAATTGACAAATGAAATAGGTCGATCGCCTTTTCGTACCGATATTCCATCATTGCCAATAACACCTGTACAAAAACAACAACCAGTCATACCCGAGTCACAAAAGTTCAACTCGATGGCGTTTTCAACATCATCCTCATCAACTTCGAACAATGCTTATCTCGAAGATTTCCTAATGCAACAACAACAGTCAAGACAAAATGTTCAACAATCAATGTTATTTAACCGGTAATTTGTACAGAAAGAGCAAACGAACGAGAGACATTTGTATATTTGTTTTCAGACAAACTTCGATGCCATTGCCAGCCAATGATCGAAAACCAATGTCATCTCCTTCAAGCATCTCATCTCAATTACAAGCTTATTTTAATTCTCAACAACCCCAACAACAACAACAACAACAGCACCAATCATCGTCTTCTATTTTCTCCAATCTGGTCAACGATCCTGCAGCAATGTATCAGCAACAAGTGCAACGAAGCATATCGTCAACAAATTCTCAACAATCAAATTCAACTCTATTCGATGACATGCAACGTTCATTTCGACAAAGTTCATCGGCAACAGGTAGTGGCTCGTTCTTTCCTTCAAATTTGCCTGTTTCTCAACAATCATCAAATGATCTCATGGCACGTTTAACACAAGCCATGCAAACGCGTGATAAACAACAGCAACATCAGGAAAAACTTGAAGAACAACGAAGGCGAGATATGGAATATGAACGAATGAAAATCTACGAACAAGTACGTCTACAACGTGAAGAAGAAGAAGAACGCCGTAAAATCCAAGAAGCCAATACCAATCGGCAAATCAATTTCGATCAATTGACAAAATCCATGGAAAACAAAAATCAATCAGTATTAGATTACGAGCAAATGTTGGCACGTCAACAATATCAAAAAGAACAGCAAGCGAAAATCGAAGCACAACAGTAAGTTAATCATCATTATTTGTCACTTTAGAGGAAAATCGCTTGTGCATTTTAGAGCAGAAAATGTTCGCCGCTATCAACAATATTACCGAGAACAACCGCAACAACCGCAGCAACCGCAGCAACCGGTGTATAAAGTCACTGAAACAACCAGCTGGGCACGACATCCATCACAAACGAGCGATTCGACACAGTTATTAAGTTTTGCGGACATTCAAAAGCAAGAACAAGAACAGGAGCGCCGTTCACGGGAAGCGGCAGTTTTCGCACAACAATACGTACGTTCCAAAGTGAAAAACATATAATCTAACTAGAAAAATGGAAATGAATAGTTTTGACAGTAGAGCAGAGTGTATGAGGAGGGTGGATGTAGGCATAGTGGATCTTACCGGTTGAGTGTGTCATTTTCCTAATTAGTTTCTCTTTGATTAGACTAAATCTCAGATTTTACCTATTCCAAACTCCTCTTCGTCACCGCCATCGACAACTAAACCTAATTCATGGGCCCGTACATTATTTGCTGGCAGCAATAATGGTAATAGTAATGTCCCATCGACATCAAGTCATATAACGTCTGATCATGATATCAATGAGAATCCATTAGCTGAATCATCATCATCATCATCATCTGTAGCATTGTATAACCAACAGGCAACAAATGCGGTACTTTCCCTTTTAAATATTCATGTATGTTGTGCTGTGACTAGTGCATGTGTCATATGTCTAATCCATTAATGCTTAATTATCTCTACATATCTAGTTGTTTGCTTAACATCATTGCAATTCTATCTTCTTTTCTAGCCCAAATCACGATCAGTTACTAATCAGCAGCCATCGACACCATGGAATGGAACAAATAGTATATCGAATCCTTCACTTCAAGATATTCAACGACAACAAGCACAGGTATGAACGATTGATGTATAGTAATTTTGCCACTGAAGTTCATCTTCTGTTAGAATGATTTACGGCAACAACAGTCACATCATATCACATCTGGTCATTCCTCAACTTCAACACCTGTCTGGGGTGGAAATTTTCAACATGGAAATGCTTCTCAACAGTCATCAGCATTATCCTGGGATAATCAGCATTCATCAGCACCATCGAACAAATCGAGCAATAAATCTTCGTATGTATCAACTATACTGTAGAATATTGAACTTATACATATATATATGAATACAAACGGATGTGTTTTTTCTATTGATTTTATTCAATATGCAAGATATTGAATACAAATAAACTCTTCATTGATTTGTATAAATAAAATCGCATTTAAATATATCATACGATTACTAATACTAACAGAAAATTTCTTTCATTTCTTTCGTCAAGTTAATTATCATACAAAGATCTTTATTCGTATCATGACAATTCACATGAAAAGAAAAGCACGATACTCATTCATCAGACATAACTCGCTAATTTAAACTGACGAAATCGTTTCTAGAAAGTCGATCTAACAGAATGAAGAGAAGATTCAGAAGTCTAAGGTTGGTGTTTTGCCTTCATTTTTCTATTGTATCTATGAATACATCTATATTCATTTTCATTTCAATTCAACCTAGAACTCCATGGACTGAATTGAAGCCCACGTCACCAATGGCAACGACCCCCGGCAAAGTCAACCCGAAGAATGCTGACCTAACGAAAAACGAACAGGAAGCCAAACGTCTATTCGCAGCAACACGTGCGCAAGATGCCCTATCCAAATGGACACAAGCTCAATTCAAAGATAACTTGAAAGATATCGACGGTAGACGAACATTTCATTCTACACTCTCCTAAGGCTGATCTCTTTCTTGTTCTAGTACCAACTCTTGTACAGTTTTTGAAAGATATCGATAAAGCTGGTGACATTATGGACTATGTCCAACCATACATCGGCTCAGTTAGTAAAGCTAAAGAATTCGCTAATGATTTTCTAATTAAACGTAATCAATTGGCTAAAGCTGAGGTTATTAATTCGATATTCGCCAGAAAATCCAAACTCATCGCTTTTTTCTTCTTCTTCTAGCCTGATTTAGACAATGAACGTTTGAACGAATTAGCCATGGCGCCGACGTCATCGAATGATAATAGTGGCAGTGGCGGCGATGAAGGTTTTCAAGTCGCATCGAGTAATGGTCAGAAGAAAAAAGCAAAAAAGATGAAAGGTCAAAAAATCGACGGTAAACAACTTGGTTTCACGGTTAACAATCGACCAGAGCAACGCGATGATATTGATAAAGTACTCATGTAGAAATACTTGGAAATTCGTCACCTGTCTTTACCATGTATATATCTCTAATTGAAATCTTTTATCTCTCTCTCTCTCTCTCTCTCTCTCTTGTCATTTCCGTAATGTACGGTTGTTTTTTATTCATTGATAAAACGTACGTATGTTTATGAACTTTTTAAAAGTATATATACAGTCTCCTTTTCTTGCGCGAGCATTATCGTTGATACATTCATGTTTCTTCAATCATTTTCTCTTCTTTTCTTCGTCGTCTGATGTTGTTGGTTTTTTTCTCTTCGATTATAACTTATTTAAAAAAAACAACAAGTTGCATATTTGGACAGATAAAGAGAAATTAAATGAAAACTGAAGCCGTCTTTTCTCTAGGCAGGATGACGAATATCTCGAATAGTTTCAGATATTATGGCAGATTTGGATGATGAACGACTTTTGCAAGATCCGGTTTTGGTGGGTGGAGCCCATCGGAAATTGTTCGCAGACATCTAAAAACGAAAATTTTCTTCTATTCAGAGATTGAAAGCAGCACTACACGCTGCATGCGGAAAAATTTGCGAACAATTACAAACACAGTCCAATGTGACTGTTGACAAACAAGTTGTGGCTGCAATAGGTGATATTACCTTTCAACAAATCGCCACATTCTGTCAAGATCTCGATGCATTTGCTAAGTAAAAATGGCTGATTTCGACATATCACGATCGGAATCTTCATCTATTCAGACATGGCAAACGCTCGACAATCAATGCGGACGATGTTCGTCTCCTTTGCCGTCGCAATTCAAGTCTTTTGGAGAAGATCGATGATGTGCAACAACGTCCATTGAAACCGTCGAAAGCAACCAATCGATCGACAACTGGCCGAAGTCATGGTTCATCTCGCTATGTCGATCATAATGTTGATATAACTGTTGTCGAATCATCATCAGATATGGACGACATTAACTAGTTCGAAAAAGAAAACAACCTTGTAATATATTGTCCTTATGATTGATATCGAACATTCATCTACTTTTAAATAAACATTCAATTCAATATGCAGAGTTTATGACGAGAAAGGCATTCGAGCATAAAGCTTATCTTATCATTTCGTGATTATATAACGTCAGCAAAAAGCACGTCGAAGAGTAAATCTAAATCCTTTCCTTTCTCAGGAATTTGAAACATCACCTTATCAAATGGATGACATCTAATCCTTGCCTCGAGCTCGTGATGGATATTCCTCTCAAGTCTCTTCGGTTTGCCTTTCCTTGTCCAAGAAATAATAACTTGTGTCAATACTTCACACATCAACCGATTTGATTATTTTCTTTGTCTATTCATAGTCCAATCAAGCAACAAACCTTTCAACAAGTCGAAGTAGAGTGCAATCAAGTCAGCTGATCATCAACGTCAATAGCAATTACTATTACTACTATTCTCTGTTTACTTTATAGTTTATCTTCGTAGCAAGAATCCAAATCGAATAATCATGTTAACGAACAACTAACTTCATCCTTCAATGCAATTATCTCTCTCCCCTAATCGATCGAAGATACATTCAGATGATCGTTACGTAAAAAATAAATCATATAGTAGACATACAGGAAATTAGACGTTCATTTTAAGTAACATGCCCACAAGCTATTGAACACATTCATCGACATTATTAAAAAAAAAACTAGAAACTGTATGTACGCATTGCTAATGGCAGTTGATGCAACGGTCAGTTGTTCATGACTTTGATGAAAATTTATCTTTATCATCAGAGAAAGAAACACAATCGGTGCTGATAATCGACGCCCGAAATCCCTTGGTATCATTAGTCATTGTTCGATTTAGCTGAATGAAATCCAAGAGAGAATACATAAAAGAAAGCAACTGTTGAACAAAGATACAATCATAGTTTTCTGTTCAATCGTCTTCATCGAAAGAATTACGAGCTTGGATGAATGAATCTTCTTCGTACAGAATTGATTGGTTCAATTATTTTAGTTTAGATTCAATTACGACATAAGAATATGAAGTTTCAAATCTTCTACTTGAAAATTAAGTGATTCTTCTTAGTCATATAAGTTGTCATCACTTTTGATGGGACATAAGAGAGAGGAAGAGAAGGAGGAAAAGTATGTTCAAGTACTTCAATACATAAAACAAAGGATTAAATGAAAATTCAGTTTTTTCCCTTTTCGTTCATCGTCAATTGTCAGATGAAAGACACAACGAGTTGATTTATGTCAGCATTTCATCTTTTACTTTCTTATTCATTTCAATCAGCAAGTAATTCCCTTAATATCAACACGCACAATAGTTAGATCATTTTCAATCGACTCACTAATCCTCTTCTCATTCGTTAGTTTGTCTGAATAACCTATACAGGTGAAAGACAGAACATGCGAACTTCTCTTTCATTAAGTTGACCATTATGTCGACTTATTCTCGTGCTACACGAAAGAACAGGAAACACTAGACGTATGTGTTGATGGATAGGAGGTGGTCGTCCATTAGAGTGAGTAGCTCTTGGGGTCATTCGAGTGGGCACCACCAACACAACTTTGACTCTCTTATTCAATACTTAAGAGTCTAGCCATCATTTTTCTCCTCTACTTTTCACACATCGACATTCGTTCTTTTCTTTTTCAATCGTCTTAATCGTCACCTCCCATATTCTCTTCTTCGTTGATATACTTCATCGAGCAAGAATGAAATCGAATTAAACGATATAGCAAAGACATGTTCTCGTATTGTATTGATCGAACAATGAAATGGGTAGATCATCTTTCTTCTCCTCTTAAATGACAATCTCCAGTTTATATATCTCAAGAGTAAGAAATAGTTGACCAATATCAAATCTTTTCTCTTTCACGCCTAATTATTGTGGTAAATGATGAGTTCAATACATTCGTACACATGAAATTAGTTAGGTAGTGAACATGAGAACGCAGAAAGGAAAAAGAAACGTTTGATCAGCAATGAAAACCTGTGTATATATGTGATATACATTCATAGATCAAATGATAATATAATGTGATGTTCACGCCCATATCTCGATGTCATTTACACGATCTTCTCATTCATTCATTCATTCATCCAACTTCTTCACCTTACTGACCACAAGCAAAAAGACATCTTGACATCGAAACTAACGAACGTCATATGTAATCGAGAATATGATGTTCATTTAGATTTAAAGGTCAAAGTTGCAACATATATCTCGATGTAATATTTCCAACTTCTCCTAGTTAAGATCCGATTACCGACATGACTGAATAACATTTTTTTGAAAAAAGAAAAATCAATTTCTTCCCTTTTGGCTTGTCTTCTCGTTTTTCTTCTTCTGATTGCGTATGTGTGTGCCTACTCTCACGGGCTTCGTGCATGCATGAATGTTACTGCTCATTTTCTTCTTCTTCTTCTTCTTCTTCTTTTTTTTGTGTACGATCGAGCGTTCTCTGACCTCCTCCCATCTTTTTTCCTATAGAAGATTTATATACATGCGCACGTCGATGATTATATAACCTCGATCTTTTTGTGCTTCAGGCTACTGCTGTTTTCAACGCATGAAACGTTGAAATCTGACTGCTGAGTTCGATTTTGTCGTCTGATCATCAAACGTGTCGAGCTTCTTTATTTGATCCAACAAATAGTAATCAAACAGAATGATATGTCAGACAGACGCCAACCGAGTGTCTAATTAGTCATGATATTTCACTTGCTTTTCTCCGTACCGCTCAATAGGATACAAGGTTTTCCTATTGTTCATTTTAAACTAAAGAGCATATCCTTGTCAACTCAACAGCTCCCTCCAGAATGATTTCTGGTTCCATGATTGTTTGTTGATAGTATGCTTTTTCTTTGTCGCGTCTTTCGTGTCGAGGTACTGGTGAGTCTGTGGTTTCTATTGATCTCAATATAATGCGAGAGAGAGAGAGAGAAAGAAAGATAGTTATTCGTGCAGGATTAATGCAAGTTCAATGGATGACCTTGTCTTTTCCATGAAAGCTGTAAACAATCTTTCTTGTTTGAACATACGCACTGGATTGAAAATGAATTAATATACTGTTGAATAGACAAACATTCTTGAACCGAAATGCTTTTCCTTTTTCCCATGTTCATTTTGTTCTCTCTAATTATGCCATGTCGTCAAAAGGTATCTCATCATCTAATTGGTGACATGTTCATTTTTCTTTTCTTCTGTGTCAAATTGAACAGCAACAGTTCATCTCGGCAGCTGTTGCAGAAAAAGAAGAGAGAACTTTTCTCTTTCTCTTCTAGATCATTATTTTTTTCTTTCTCCTTCTCCTTCTCTTTCTGTCTTCTCGCTTTTACCTTCATTTATATATATCGTATACATACATACAGACGCATTTAATACAATAATAACATGAATCGATATTTCAAGCAACAGCTAGGTCTTCTATTACTTGCATTAATCCTGCAAATCAGTCGTGTCACAAGTGACCAGCAGCAACCACAATGCCAAGCAATCACCTATTACGAATGCAAAAATATCGGATACAATCAAACATATTTGCCTAATAAATTTAATCATCAGGATCAAAAAGATGTTGCACTTGTGGTATGTACGAATTGAAAGTAATCATCAGCTTGAGAAATGTCATTAATGATTGATAATTATTCGTGTCGTCGAATTCGATAAGAATAACTACATGTTTCCTTTCATCGAACTCTCCTCCGAAGTGCTAATCGATCTTTCGAAGTACATAGGTGTGAAGAGAAAGATACATATCTGATTCTATTCACTCCAAGCAGGCCAGTTTTCTTTTCTGACATTTGTCTGACCTTCGAACTGATCTGACAAATAAACAATGGATATTATGATATCATTAACAGCGAACGATTATGTCAATAGAAGAAAAAGATATTTCTACCGAATGTTAAAAGGCTTCCGTGAGGAACTAATTCAAATATTGGTTCATAGGATCTAATAGATGTGTGTATGTGCGTGTGAACGCACGACGTGTTAAATAAGCGAACTTTTTTGATCAGATAAAATCCGATATGACAAGATTTTCTTTGTTTCATTTAGATCAATCAATTTACAGCTTTAATTGCCGTTGGATGTTCATCTGAACTACGCTTTTTACTCTGTTCAATTTATATGCCGTTATGTTTACCAAATTATTCTGAAACGATCCCACCATGTCGTGAGGTAGACACGCATTGTATTTGTACGAATTCTCTAATTGTCAAACATTCAATTTCTATTAGGTATGCGAACGTGTTCGTACGCCATGCGAAGCATATTATACACGATATGGCTTCATTTGGCCAGATGCATTGAAATGCGAACAATATCCATCGAGTAGTGAGAATGCGATCTGTATGGATCCGAGAAAGAACGAAGCGCCGTCAGCAAAATCACCAATGAAATTGTCTTCTCCTCGTCCTGCGCATTCATCACCTGTATCATCATTATCATCTTCATCATGTTGTCAATGTAACACATCATTAGGTTATCGTCTTATTGATGATGATTATGAATCAATTAAACGATGCGTTCCGCCTTGTTATTCACCGTATTTCAACGATGAACAATCGAAATCGATGATGAATATTTGGTTAACATTCTTAAGTTCGCTATGTGCGGTATCATGTGCGTTTGTTCTCTTAACATTTTGTATTGATATAACAAGATTTAAATACCCGCAACGACCGATTATATTCTTGGCATTATGTTATTTCTTTGTATCATGTGGTTATTTGATACGTTTGGGTTTGGGACACGAAAACGTTGCCTGTCGTTTAGAAAACAAGGTAAGCTGAAAATCTGAGGTTTTCAATGTACTTGTGATAACACCTTGTGTGTACAGAACAATGCCTGTCCATTGTTACTGAAAAATGATGCATTTTCGAAGGACGACATTTCTTTGATCAACCTTGTTCTGACATATCTTTTGCAGAATGTCATTATTTTGACATATGCATAGCATTTCTTTTCCCAAGAAAAGCAGTGCATCAAGTGTTTGAATTTCGCAATTCCAACGTTTCTTTTTAATTAGTTCCTGTCCTTGATGTTTCATCTGTTTAGATCGATTCGCCATCGTATCTTCAACTTGTTCGTGTGTCAGGCCCATCAAACTGTGCATTTGTTTTTGTTTTAACATATTTCTTTGGTATGGCTTCATCTGTATGGTGGGTTATACTAACACTAACATGGTTTCTTGCTGCTGGCTTCAAATGGTCGTCAGAGGCGATCGCACATTATTCAGTTTATTATCATCTCATTGCTTGGCTGCTACCATGCTTACAAACAATCGCCATTCTCATGCTGAATGGCATCGATGGTGATCCGATCAGTGGAATCTGTTTTGTTGGACATACAGATTCATCAATGTTACGCGGCTTTGTTATACTACCATTGATTGCTTTTTTGACTATTGGCACAATCTTTTTGTTGGGTGGTTTGATTAGTTTAATGCGTATTCGAAATGTGATGAAGAGTCAAGATCGAACGAAAACGAATAAATTAGAGAAATTAATGGTACGAATTGGACTCTATTCCATTCTTTATACCGTTCCAGCAACCTTTGTAAGTGAACAAGATTTTTCTGGAAAAGCTCGCATGTTATCTGCTTGTTTGTTAGGTAATTGGAATTTACTTTTATGAATTACGCTATCGCACGATTTGGGAAGATAATCTTCATTGTAACAAATGTCCGGATCGATCGACATCATCATGGGCAATTCAGCCAAGTTTTACGATATACCTCGCCAAATATTTCTTCTTACTGATCGTCGGTATTACAACTGGTCTATGGATCAATTTGAATAGTAAAACTATACGTTCGTGGAAGAAGTTCTTTTGTCGCTGCTTCTGTTGCAAGGCGATGGATGAAGAACATCATTATCAACAATATGGTAGTCATCATGGACGAGAGGATTACGGAATAAATTATTCATACAAACATACGAAAATTAATGGAAGCAAATATTCGCTTCCGTCGTCGAAACAATTACCATTAGTACATGTCTAAATTGTTTGGATATATTCTTCTCGCGACTCCTCTCATTCCATTGTATTTTTCTTGTTGTGCATTTCGTCAATCTATACTTTAATCCTATTTGTGTGCGTGTGCGTGTGGTTTTTTCTATTTTTATAATAAAAGCCAGGATAGCAACAGTTCTCTTTCCTCTTCCGAACAGGGATCATCGGCATATTGTATACATAATAGAACTCCATGGGTGGTAATGCAATTTCTATCTGACATGATAACAATTGAATTAGAAATATGTTAATTAGGAAAAAGAAGAATGTGACAGGGCCTTGTGAGTAATACGATTGAAGGATAATTGAAGTCAGAATTCGAGTGTTGGACAAAACTGGTTTCATATCATAATCATTCTTCAATTACTTTATTCTCAATCATCGATCGTGGATTCTTTTCATGACATAAAACAAAAAAGAAACGTACTGCAACAATTTTCACGTCTCAAAACTGAGACTAGAACACACACACACAAGAAGAAAAAACGAAAAAAAAAGAAAACTAAACACTTATACATAAACAAAGAACTCTCTGTTTCTCTGCCTCTCACACACACACGCATAAAACATACACATGTACAACGGAACAAAAAAAGAAAGAAAAACTGCCACTAACGCAAACTCTTGTTTATTAGTGGACTTGCGACAATTAACAATAATAATAACAACTAGTGACGAGACAAAGAATGATTGTTTAGTTTAGAAGTGAAATTATTATTATTATTATTTTTGTGAGAGATGCGGAAAGACAAAACTAATATTTTTTTTAATAGATGAGCAATTCTACATTAGAAGAAATATTGACATGGCACACCGAAGAAGAAAAGAAAAACGCAAACAAACTTATTTTCCTAAAAATCATATTTAATCAAATGCATTGCCAAGCATTTGACTATTACCTGGAGATTGATGCAATGGACAATAGCGTAATGTGTGCGCTAAATCGCCTGTCGCGCCACATTTTGGGCATACATAAGCACGAAGGATGGGACAAAGAATTGTTCCAGCACCATTGCGTAACATATGTGACCGATAAACTTCAAATGATTCACCATTTTCAAAACAAAATTTACATTTCATTTTGATGCCTAGCATGAAGTACAAAGCTCGAGCATCGGTCACTTGCTTTGTCATGTCTAAAGCACAATGAGAGCTTTTTCTATTCGAAATGGTTGTAGTTGTGTCGTGCTTACCAATCTGTGCTCGTTTAGCAATGAATTTTTTACTTCCCGTCGGATCGTTCATGTCGTCCGAATCGGAAAACATATTCATATGATCATGAGATGTGGCGATGGATGTTGACGGTGGTGAATAACCAATCAAGTTTGTTAAATCAGTAAATTGATGATGAGAAAATGGAGTATTGATCGATCGAGTATTTTGCGATAAACAATGACTACAATTCGACAAAAGTTCTGAATATTTCCTATTCGAATTCTGTTCCTACCGTGAGAGATAATTGCTGTGTTGACAATGTTGCTGCTGTGGTAGTGGTTGTTCTTTATTATTATTACTACCAATTGCTAAACGAAGATATTGATTACTTAAATTTGTTGATGAGCCAGCACAAAGTAAAGGCGATGTATCACCGAAATCGGAATCCAGTCCTGGTGATGATAGATAATCCAGTTCATTAAATAATCGAGCAGCATTCGTTGATGACGATGAGCCGATGCCGGAACCCATCGGTGGGGTTGCTAAAACCTTTTCCATGATACCACGTACAACATTAGCAGCAGCAAATGACATGGGCGCACCACCCGAACGATTTCCATCAGTAGAACCCGATGATGAATTCGAGACTGAAGAGCCAGTTGATGTCGTTGAGAGAGCTGTTAAATTATTATTCAGCATTGATTGATAAGAACCTAGAGATAAAGGTAGAGAATGATGATGAAATCATTCGAGGTTGTTAACGTACTAATTGACATTTTTGAAACTAAATTCAAATTGATTTGAATTGCTTGATATTGTATGTGCTCGATGAATATGAAAACAACGAACTGAACTTGGCGATTCTCGAACGAATATAGTCGTACACGAGAGGAAGAGAAGAAAGAAAAAAAAACGAAGATTCACTATCGCTCTCCCATACTTTCTAAGAAGGATAGAAAAATCGAATCCACGTGTGAATCATTCGACGAAACGAATAGTCAGGAATGGACAGAGTTCTATCGAGGGTATGTGGAATACTTCGAAATACGAATCGCTTCTGTGATCAATTCATTTATTTTAAGACAAAATCACGCAAAGAGAAAAATACGAATTCGATTAAGCTTTCTATCACATGTAAAGTTTCTTTGATGATCGCTTCGTTTACCATTGTTGACGATATTCAGTTGACTAGAAGAAAGAGGGGAAAAATTATGAACTCTTTTTTCAAGAAAGTCAACGCAAGCACATACAGTGAATCGATTGGGAAGACGAGCATCTCGTCGATAGTATTGTCGTTGTTGTTGTGAAGGCGCGGCCGTTTTCGGTCGACTATAAACATTCAAACGATAATCAAAAACAAGTCTGAATGAGAAACACATCATCCTACACGTATATATCTCGGGTTCGTTGAAATGAAACAGGTTCGCTATCATCTATTACCATCATTTCCATCGGTGTGCAGGTACAACGTGCTGGTCGGATGTCTGGACGGAAGATACGAGTTGGTAGTTCGAACGATTTCTTCATCGGTTGTGGACGTTCCAGCTTGCGTGCTTGCTTGTCAAGATCTTTCTGTGTTCGAAGAGATTGATTTCGTTCAATGATATGTTGGCGGCGTTTAGCCTCATAGTACTGTGCTTCCATACTCATGTTTATTGTCTTGTTTGGTTAATTTTCAACTGAGAATTAGATGAAATGAATGGCTCGAACAAACACTTTCAGTTCTTACTTTTTCTCCTTTTCGATTGCTGTGAAACAGAACAAACAAACACATCAGATGTCTTGTTTTTTTATTGTTGCTAGTTAAATCTATTTTCAAGAGCAGGTCAAGCAAGAGAAACTTTTATGAAATTGAAAGAAGTGTCTCAATCGTTTTGATGAAAGATTTTTCTCTCGATCATGTACTGCCAAACAAAACCTCGCACATTCGAACATTAATTTAATAGCCACAATTGACAAGAAAAACATCGACTAGAGCACCAGTGATACATATCAAGAAAAGAAATTCATGTCGATTTCGCTCGTAGTTGAGACTTCAATCGTTTTAATTCGTATTCTAATTCATTGATACGCTTTTGAATAAAGCGTTTCTCGATTGAAGTGTCTCGTTTGTTGCGTATATCGCCGTTGAGAGGTAGTAATGATATTTGACGCTGTTCTCGTTGTTCATTTATCGCGCTCATTTCTTCTTTCAACTGATAAGTGGTTGTTATGAGTTTCGGAACATTAACAACATGCAAATCTAAACTATCACATCGAGTTGAATAATTATGCAGGCTAAAAATACGCATATGAACAATGTACAATTAGGAAATGATCGTTTCACAAACCGTTCTCCAACAAATTTTAATGAATCATGTTTGAACGATGAATATGCTTTGTTGTAAACATCATCAGTAACGTTCAAAACGGCGTATAGGCGCTAGAACGACGAAAATCGATATTTTCGAATTACCTTTGTCAAATTTTTCTTACTTGCGAACAAAACAACCAACCGCGCCATTGTCGCCGACGCCAATATGGCACCGCATATTTGAAAATCAACCATTCCAATATGAGTACGATAAATCCAACGACAATACCGGCTACTAATAGAATAAACACACCGAAAAATCGATCAACCGATAATATACGATTCTAAAGCACAATTATCGATCAGACTGATAAGCAACGTAATGTTTTTCATTACTTCTTCCAATAGTTTCGTTTCACAATTTTCATACACATACCAATCGTCGTGTAAACGTTGTATAATTCCTACAAAACATTCTCTCAGCTAACTACACAAAAGTCGAGTTCAATTTACCTTTGTCGACATACGATAATAGAATGTCCGTAATACTATCTTTCAATTCAGTATCGAATTTTGAAAAACCCAATGACAAACCAAATGCACCGAAATTATCACCACTAATACGAATTAATTTGGAAACATCTCGCGTTAAGTAGTACCGTGCCATGGAATGATCCATGAGCAGATATGTTACCACACGACTCCGAAGTAATTCAATCCCATGACCATATGATGCCACATAATGTATATGACGATACAGAGTGTTGAGATGGAATCGTTTTAAGTATTCTTCATCACTTGTATTAGCAACAACACCGATAGTACATCGAGGCATATTCCGACATAAATCCTTAGTTAAAAAATCAGAGATGTACTCGTCATGGCAAACTAGAGCTTACTACGATACTGTGAACTACAGTTTCTGTGTGAGTTCGACCTGTTTCAACCATGAAAGCAGCCAATTTAGCAGTGTAAATGGCAATGAATACAATACCAAAACCACCCCATACCTAATCAGAAGATGAAAATCTTGCTTTTTATCTAATTAAAACTTACATTTCCCAAGAATCGATTCGACCAACATTTTGGTGATTTAGTTTTGAACGTATGCGAGAATATAATCGACCAAGTGATTGTCAATGCCGATGCTAAACTGAATACAATATGTCTTCGACGACCTTTTGGTGTTAAACTACAAAATCAAAAGTGAATCATTTCGACAAAACGATGTCAACTTTCTGTCAATTACCCATAAGGACTATTCCATTCAAAAAACGTTTCAAACAGAGCAGTCACGTTTAGTACAACAAATATCATTAGCCATGTTGTCCATGAGAAAGGTTGTAAAAATGCACCTAACGATAAACCAGTCGGCGATGGACCGGTTAGAATGACATACGATGAATGATAGAAAGGTGGGCTTAAATCGTACGCTTGTGTTGCGTAGTATTCGTATGGTATAGCGGATATGGAAAAATGAGCACGACGATGTTTTAATGTTTGAGTTAGAGCGAACCATTTGTTTGGTTTATCGGAAAAGACGAATAGACGTGTCGACTGTAAACCGTTGACTAATTTCGAATCTTCGATGCGTATTAAAAGATTGACGGAGATTCCGTAGCAACAGCGAGGAGCGGCTGCCATTTTTCGATGAAGAAACAGTGCATCTGTGGTAAAGTTAGTTACTAGTGGATCGATTTCATAACACGGTATACCATAATTACAAAGAAATTCCGAGGAGATTTGGGCTTCCGATACGAACAGATAAGGAGGTTCAACAACACCAACAATAATGGTTTTCTGGGCTCCGGTATGCATATGAACATATTGACAACCATTGCTTCCACCAGTGACGATGCCAACGTACATTTTATGGAGATTCTGTAAGTTAACGAGAGTATTTGATGATAGCGCTGTTGTGGAATTATCTTGTTGAGCTGATGAAGAACTTTTACGTGATGCTGAACTTGTCAGACGGCACGAACGAAATAATTGTTCAGCATTGTTATGTTGAGGATGAAATATACGATAGACCATGGCTTGACATGAGTCGCCCGTATGCGCCTATATGAAAACAAAGCATAGAAGTGACAATCGATAGGAAATTCAAATGTATTAACCATGAAGATCGTCGGAACACGCCATGCCAACGTTTTAGATTCGAATAATATCGGATCGATTCCAGAACCAACTCGAATATCACAGTTCCATTCGGTAAAATTTGTAAACAATCTTTAAATATAGGAAAAACGCGAGGTAAGTATTTGATAAACACGACTCCGAGCTCAGCTATCGGAAATTGTCAATCTCATTCATTTCTTTAATAACTAATAACGGTATCTGCAAGCAAAGTTTCCGAATAAATGTCTTTTTCCTAAGTCAAACAATCCATTAAAACTAGTTCGTGTTGTCTCCTTCAAACACTTCGCTATTAATCAACATTAACTATACAATTCTATCAATTAGCTGAACATTCACCGAAACAGCATGTATTTATCTAAGCAAGTAAATATTTATGTCCTGTGCAAATATTGCTGTGATGTAAACTCAAATATGTTTCGTACTTGATGAACATGTGCGTTTTTTTCAGTTGTTGTTCCGATTGTCGAACTGCACAGTTAGTCGTGCCAATCAACGATGATGAGATAGGCAAACGAATGTATGTTCGAATGACTGCATTGAATAAGATCTTCATACTTGAATTGGAAAAATAACTGAAAAAATTCCGACGATCGGTGTTTTCCGTGTGAATCTTGGGTACATAGGACAGATTTCGTATTTCACCGAGTCGAGATGCAAACCACCAGCTGGTTTTGTCGAGAAGAATCCGGATCTGTGAATTCGTTCCAAAATCTTCGATAAATCGAAGAAATTGCAATTCACGTTCAGTGGACATAATGCATAAGATTAAATCAATATCGAGTTCAGTGAGATCCATGAGAATTTTTCGCGTATTTTGATGAAGATCAAATAACAGGGACACTCGGGGTAAATGTGCTCGATAGATAATGTGCTGTTTAGCCAAACGAAGATATGTCAAACGATGTTCTACCATATCAAGTGAAACATCATAAATCAAAGCTAAAAGCAATAGAAAATGATGACCGGAGAGATACAACTTCGGCTTTTACCTATTCGTGTGTAAACTGAACGATTATCTAAAGCTAATGCCACTGCTTTTGCTTGTTCAATTGGATCAGACATCAGCTTGAACAGATAAGGATTATGCTAAAGGACACACTACAAAAGACAAAGTGAATGTTTAGTGGAAAGCTTTACCAGTTTGCCCTGGACGATTTGATATCGATTTGTAATGGCAATCGTCGGAATTTGCAACGAACGAGATAAGAAGTCGATTTCTTTGGTATATAAATCAGCAATAAATATTGTATCACGTGCTTCTTCACCGATCAACGAACATAATCTACGAGTGGTGATCGCTGTTGGCTGTTCGAATATGTTCAATTTCAGATCGATTCCATAGGATTCAGTGAGATTCTTCACATCGGTTCCGAGATAATGTTCATTGACTGTCTTGTCGAATTCTCGAAAGTAGACTACTCGAAGCGCTCGTCGAGTTGAGTACGTATGTCTTGAATGAAGGAATCGTCGTAACGATGGTCGATTCGTGTTTTCGCATTGATACAGATGAAGTAAATAAAGAAGTGTGAAAACATGAACATAAAATACTCGAGATTTAAAACCGGTCGACAATGACCATTGATAAAACATAATCGATATCGGATAAGAATAAATAGATCAATTATTAATCGGAGTAGAAACGACGGCATCGGACTGCTGACAAAAAAGAGTGTCGATGTCAAAGACCACACACAACACGAACTATTTTACATTTCATTAAAATAGACTATGAACCATTCGAAACAGCTAAAAGCAAAAGAAAATGAGCACATCTCTTTAATCGATGAGATGCTAATAAAATCGACAATACTCGCTGGTTTCTTTTCTGTTTCCCTACGTCTGCATTTAAATTGATCACATGAATAATAAAATAAAAGAAGCAGAGAGAAAGAAGGAGAGAGAGAGAAGGAAGAGGATTGTGATTCAGTGTGTATACACAGCAGATCCAAACAAACGAGAAACGACATTGTCATTACTTGCCATACGCATACAGATCTAGAGAGGTTTCCCAGCGAAGAAGAGAGAAAAGAAACTGCTTTTTTCAATTATACCGATGAAACATGCTCATGTATTCATATCTCCGTAAACTGAGGAGTCTTACATTATTTATCAGCATGTTTTCCTATTGATGAGCAGATAGATAAAGGAATTTACTAATACATGATTAGAATACGGATTCCATGAAATATATATAGGAATTAATAGAGAAGAGGACAAAACCTCGTGTCTTCATTTCTCGTTTGTCTTTCTCGCGAGGCAATTTTCAGCATTGTTAGCAGAGAAAAAGTGGAACAATACATGGAAGTGATCTTCAGACACGCTATCTTCGTGCTTCTAGTTAATAAAATAATGCTATAATGCTCTTGTGTCGCGATTGATCAAAAGAAAAGTCAATTTCTAGTTAAGAGAAGAACACTATCTATGCTGGAGAAAATATCATCAAACAAGTTGATACTTCAAGGAAAATTTCCACAAAAGAAATCTTCATGCGGAAATATTGACCTGATCGAAATGAGCAAATGAGAGGAAATAAAACTTTGAAGTTTCGATCACATTTGTATTTTTTTCATTTCGATTTCCTCGATGAAATTCTAGTCCCTACTCGCTCGCTCGTTCGTTCATTCGCATATATTTGCCCTAATTGAATTATGATCGTCAAAGAGAAAGACGATTCCATGCGCGTTGTTGATTTTCACTAGTGAGCAAAAAGAGAAAGAGAGAGAGAGATTTCGCCCGATGTTCAAACCGTGATGATATATGTTTAAAGTTAACAGAGATTGCGGAAATGACTTTTGGACAGAAAGGTGATCATGGGTATCGTTACGAACGGAGAAAAGTCAAGATAATAATTTTTCAATCGACAATGCCAAAGAAAGGAAGCTATCAACTAGTCGACATCTACTTACATCGAACAAAAAACGAAGGAAGAAGAAAGCAGCAACAAGAATGTCAATTCGTTGACAGTTGCTCTTTCATTTATATCTCAGAACAAAGTTCTTCAATCTAACTCAATGCCTCTCATCAGTTTTCTTTTTATTAGAACTTGTCACGTATACATACTCGAAACAAAGCCCCACTAAATGAGTCTCTACAGATATTTAATTAAAATCGCCCATCTCATAGAATTAAGATGACGACATTCATCAATCTATCGAAGATAGAATCAATCATAGTTAAGCTATTAGTGTCTGTATTCTAGTACTTCATGAATTACACCAGAAGACATGCAGAGAGCAGAGAGAGAGAGATAAAAGAGCACATGTCATAATTCAATTTCTATGCTTGAATAAATGAAAAACATGGAATATAATAATGTAAGATAATTGCACAAGCGACAAGCGCATCTTCATCTGCCAGATCATTCAAGGTTTCTTTGATGAGACGAGAATAGGACGCATTCTTCTTGACAAAACACAACTTTATACATATGATTTCATTAAGTGAAAACATCGTGAAGTTCATTCATTGTTTATAATCTACAATGACGCATTTCAAGACTACTCGTGCTGTTAAAAATCATAATCTATTCTTTAGATTCATTTCCAAGATGGTTAATTACGCATATAGACATCATCCTTAGTTCGTCGAAAGTTTCATATACGTAGATGTAGTTTTCTTGTCTCAAATTAACGGTCGTCGTTCCCAGAATAGTTTCCGTTCTTCGGGCACCAGTTCAGTGAATGTTGTATTAATTCGATCTTCGATTGGTTTGAAATAAAGGTCGATCCATTCGTCGACCACATCTTTCGAATAAAGTTCACTTAAATGTTGTTCAACTGTCTGTTTACTCCTAGTCAAATCTTTCGACAGACTGTTTAACTCGTTTAAGCGTGACTGGAGTTCAACACGACGTACAAATGAATGTTTTCGATTGTATTGGGGCACGATTGTATCGAGGATTTTTAACTGACGTTCAACTTTTGGTAAAAGTATAGTTAAGAATGAAATACTTGTCCAGATCGATGTACCTAGATAAAAAAAACAGATGCTATTTCAAATCAATCTCGTATTAGTTTCTTCTTGCCTGGTAGAAAATTGCACAGTTGAGTATCTTTGTCAACTGATGCTAGTAGAGTCGAGCAACTACGCACGGAATCGCTAGTCAGATATTCATCGGTATTTAAAGCGTGTAAGCTGTAGAGAAGTGATGGGTATGCTGTGGGTAGGATATCACACAAAGGCATAAAATGATCGAATCTCGACCAACCAGTTAAGATGATGCCGGAAAAAGAATCCGAACGAAATGTTGGCGATTCAAGGAAATGCAACCATTGACGATTATTCGAGACATGATGTTTGGTATTTGTGGTCAGAGAATATCGATGAAGGCCACCTTTGAACGCGCTTGCAGCCCACATTGTTTTGAAATATCTCGGATAGATTCGCCAGCCTAATAAACTTTTGTAATAATCATCGAATGTTGGAAAATAATTCCATGACACTGGCTCGATCAGTCCTTCGATCTGTTTCAGCTACAAAAAGCAGAAAACTAGGTCTTGTGATCTATTTTTTGTAATATCATCAGATATGATTTACTAATTTTCGGTTTCGGAGAAATGAATCTCCACGAAGGATGTCGTCCCAGATCAGAATTCGAATCCGTGGTCGAATTTTTCGTACAATATCGATAACACGTCGTATATGTCTTAAAGAAAAATCGTAAAAGAAATCTATAATTATCCGTGAAGCTTTACTGAATATAAGTTTCCGCAGAACTCATCGTTTTTCCTTCACAAGACGGATTTGTGTTCGTCACAGTAACTTCATCACAGCCAATATGAATAGTTTGACTATTTGGATGCATATCGAGTGTTTGCTGTACAAGATCTAGAGTATTTGATAAGAATATCGATCGATCTTTGCTGTTCTTCCCTAATAGAACACTAACCTTCGAGCAAATTGTAAGTCTTATCTACACAAGGTGAAATCACCGTAGGCAGTTTGGGATCGTCACGATAAGACTCAAATTCACGTAATTTAAGTATCCATTCCAGATGACCGAATGTTTGGATCAATGGGATGATCTCCAAACCCTGCCTTTTCGCTGACTGTTCTATTAGTTGTATATCCGATTTGGTGTAGCCATAGCGATGAGTGGCCTTTCATACGAAACGATTGTTTTCCTTCAATTCTCAAATGAATTCTACTTACATTAGCCAGACTGCCTTGCAATGGAAGTGTGTCTTCATATTCAATTACAACACCTTTGACACCCATTTGTAATTTCGCCAGGAAAATAAAAAAAGAGTCGAAAAACTTCTCTGCTTTCGGTGGCGCGCCTTTGAGATCGAGATGAATATACTTGGGTAGATCCGGTCGACCATTTCGATCGTTTTTTATCCGAGGTAAATACAAATTCTCTCGTTCAGAAGAACCGAAATCTGTTTTACTCTTCGATACGACGATCCATCGTACACAAATCGTTAATATGAACAACAAAAACGCCGCTAAAGTCAACTGTCGAACGTTTCGATATAATCTAGAGATTTTCTTTTGAATGGTTAATGCTGACATGTCCAATGATGTTGTATTATCATATTGAATAGTAAAGTAGACGACAAACGCGCGCCACTATTCGGTTGAAATGTTACATATATCATTGTCGATTGCCTACGTTGAAGTACAAGTGCGCTGAAGCGTGTCAAATGCACGAGTATGTTTTCAAACTGTGTCGTGAGTTTCCTTGTTGACGACTTCATTGGCAAGGTTTGATGCGAGAGTGAAAGAAGAGGACGTCTTCGAAATCTCGATTTAGTTTAGTTTTTTATTCGTGTTCGTAGAGAAAGTCATTCAACATATGATAACCGAAAGAAGAAGAGACATAGGACAGGAACGAAATGAAGTGAATGATTTGTGCCTTTCTTTTAAAAATAAATGAGCAATGTTACAAACAATCGTTAGCTATAAATATGATGACGATGATGATGGTTGTTTTGAACGTACAGATTGAAAAGAGAAGATCAGCGAAAGAAACAAGAATGAAAGAAAATATAGATACACATCAAGAAGAATAGACAATCCTAAAAGTTGACAAAAATGTTCGTAATGCAATATGATTCGAACACGAGTGATCAATTTCCTAAGTTTCATGGGCATACTTTTCCGTCCAATCACGAGCTAGAAGAAAGAAACCCGGAAATCGAAAGAGTCGTTTGAAACGGCGAAAGTTTACCTATTGCTTTTGCTCCTTTTTCATCTGCCTTCCATTTTTCGGCGACATCAGCATCCAGAAAATCATCCGGGTTCGGCGCACTTAACAAAGCTTGGATCGAAAGAAGAACAGTACGAATTTGCAAAGCTGGACTCCACTTCTCTACGAAAAACATCGGTTGAACACAAAAGAAGTTCCACTACTCGCCGTTACCTTTGAGAATGTCTAAACATATACGACCTAGTTTATCAATATTTGGATGGTAAAGTTTTGTCATAAATCGGACTTTTGGTGGTGCCATTGGATATTCATCTGGTAAAAACAATTCCACTTTGAATTTGCCACCCTCATAGGGGCTCTACAAGAAATTTGACAAGACAAAAGGTTCAGTAAACTTTCCCAACGAGAATTTACCTCGCTCGGACCGTCGATAACGACTTTGAAGTAACGAGCATTGTTTTCATCGGGTGCTGCGATTATACCTGGCACTGGTTCTTGCTGCAATCGTGCGCTTTCCTAAGAAATTTTGAAATAAATAGCATAGAAGAAAAACAAATCTACTGGGAAAATTACCTTTACAATACGCTTTGTCAATGCTCCGTTCTCATTCATTCTTGTATGATTTAATCAGAAAAAAATTTTTCAATCTAAAGAAGAACTATTCTTGTAAGGAATGTTCGTTTGTCATCCGATGAAAGAACAAATTTCACTGGACTACGAGTTAAGAACGTTTGTTGACTGTTGTTTATTTTTGTCTTCATGAAAATCGAGCGACATCTTTGATACCAACAAAACACCTTTTCTCAACACAATGGACTAAACTAGAATTCGTTATGGTTAGTATTATCGTCATTGATAACTAGTCTATCGAATTTCGAATGCAACGAAAACAAACCGTTAATTCGATCGTTATAGACAAAAATATGGACCAATAGAATGAAAGTGTTCAATCGAGTCTGTGCGTGTACATTCATCTGAATATTATCAATGAGAATCTTTTGTTTAGCGGCTCGTAGTTAAATTGCATATCGTTTCACACTTAACAGCAATTTTTCGATCCGAACTAGTGACACCTGAAAAGACGATTCGATTGGTTGTTTCTGTCACCGTCTCCTCATGTTCAAAATTCATTTCGTGTAACAAGCCTTGACTTTACAGGCAGACGAAAAGCAGACAGTTCTGAATGCAAGCAGACGAATCTTCGAGCAATGATGATCGTATAGCCGGGTTAGAATCTCAAATTCTCAATTCTCAAGAAATCATTGCTCGTCTCAATCGGGAATTAGATAGTGCATTACTACGAATTACTACACTTGAAAGTGTCTGTTCGGATAACCAAACTGATCTTCACGAAAAGCGTTCGCGGATTCAACAATTGACTGATGAACTTATTGAACAAGAGGAAGTTAACGAACGTTTAAGAGACGATATCCGAAGCAAAGAATCTCAGATAGACTTTAATCGAGAATTACATGAATTAGTTATCAATGAACTTGATAGTTACAATGAAGAATCTCCTGAACTTCTTCTTGAACAATACCGAAATCACCAACGGTCGAAATTTCACCAGCTTCTCCAAGAAAGTTTAACCACGGATGATATCTCGAGTCTGATCGATTCTGATGACATTCTCTTTGAATTATTAACACGCTTGAATAGTTTCTCGCGGCTGAAAGAAACACTTTCACGTGATAGTCAACAACTTCAACACATTCGAACATTATTACATGTAACTCCCGATCATACCGACGACATTATCCAAGATCTATTAACGAAAAAAGAATGTCTTGAACACTTACGTATGAAAACGGATAAGAATCACGAAATGACGGACATGGATCTGATCAAACATGTTCTACATAGTTATTTCAATTACCAACAACAAGAATCAGATCTGAAAGACATCACCGAGCGATACAATGAAGCGATGAATGTTCGTACGTTCTCTTCGTATCTTTATTATCTCGCGGTATTTTTTGTTGCTTAAAGATGAATGCAGAACTGTTACAACAGGAAAAACAAATCGATGAACTGATTTCAACGTTCGATCAACAATCGAATCCTCTTCTTGGATCTCCATTGGATCGTCTTCGAATGATACTTCAAGCGAATCGTGACCATCAACAAACACTATCGATCATATCCATGAATGAAAAACTATCTGATCTGAAGGAAAACTTGATAAATCTTTTGAAAATAGATGAACAGAATGGTAGGTTTGACGAGATTCTTTCTGCTTCAACAATCAACATTGTTTTTCAGAAACAAATCAAATCGATCGAATCTCGTGGCATATCCAAGCATTGATTGACTTTCGAGAAAATCTCTCAAAGAAATTATCCGTGTCTAACGATCCAGAATCGATTTTACAACGTATTAATGATTATCAAAGAATTCTAACTGTACTCAATTCAAATGAAAACTCCTGGACAGATGATACAACCGAGCAACTACTAGTGAAACTACAGACTATGGTAAGAAGAGAACAATTTCTCGTTCACAGGCACCGTTGTATTCTCATAGAACGATTCAACCAATCGTATGGATGATCTCCAGAAACAGCGTGATGAAGCTGTGGATAATGAAACACAATTACAGGCAGATATTGAAGAGATTGCTGATGAATTTTCAGCGAAAACCCATGACGATCGAAGTAAACTGTGTTCTTCTTTTCCTTTGAAAACTGTCCTTGTCGATTGTAGAATCGAATTTAACACGTATTCATCAAACATTGCAGTCGCTGAATAATTTTCGTCAAGAACTTTTTGATCGAACACAAACGAAAACCGACCACGATTTTCTTCAATTACTTTCCCAATATCAACAAAACCAAGGTTAATTTCTTTTCGTTTCTTTGCTTTCTCAATCTTCTCCTATTAGATAATCAAATAGAAATCGAGAAAAATCATCTTGACGATTTGAACGAAAAGTACCAATCAATGATTGCCAGTAAGATGCCGAGTGAATAGAACCGTTCGATATGATATGCTTGAAACTTTTAGAAGAAGAGATTCTCGAGCAAAGCATCGAGCGATTAACGACTAGACTTGGTTTATTCGTCGATAACGGGGATAATCCAGATTTACCAGCTAAAATTGATCAAGTTTATCAAATCATTGATAAATTCTGTTTGGATTGTTGTGAATTGACGTCAATGGATATGACACAAGTAGGCTTTATCGAAATGTCGAAACACATTCGAGTTATTGCTCAAGAACATAACCAAATAAAACAATTGATTCATGAAGCAGGATTTCATCAAGTATAAAAACACGAGAAAATAAGTCGCTTGTAGCTTCCGCACTTTTCCTTTAGTCAACAGATGATTTCAATGTAATTTCACAATTTCAAATCTATATCAGCAAAACTCAGCACTTATGCAAATTGATTTGTAATGATGATGTTAGTATAGATCAAGCCATTGCTCAATGTCAACATGATAAAACTCTCATCGAAAAGTGTAGGATGTGAAATAATTTCTATCAGGCAAATATCCACATGCTTCTATTCATTCTAGTGTCGGATTTCAAGCAACAACTGCTGCATCGATTGTCTCCTGACGATGAAGAACATGTCGTTGAGCGTCTCAATGAATTGTATCAAGCAAACACTGATTTGAAAAGTAGTTGATCATATATTCATCTCAGAAAGAAGATTTTTCCAATCATTTCGTAGACAAATTACAGCATGTCAATGATTCAGCCAGCACGATGAAGAAGGCTATCGGTGAACATGAAGAAACACTGGAGAAACTCCGAGATCAACGCGAACGAATGCTGACTAAAATGAAAGAAATAAAAACCAATAACGAATCCTTAACTGACCAAGTATGAATATCTTCGTTTTGTTTATTTAATAAAATCTACACATCTTCTAGTTGAAACAAGCGAATGAATCACTTTCCGAACGATATCGAATGGAAATCGATTATAAAAATCAAATCGAACAACTCGAACAGCAACTGCGTAGTGTCAATAATCAACTACAAACGACCTTAGACGAATGCCGAACACAACAAGATCTACAGGATGCTATGAAATTGGAAATAACATCGATACAAGTAGATTTTCTATTTAAATACGAAATCTTTGATGAAGATTAGATATTCTTTTCAGCAAGAAAACGATACTCAACGGAAATTATACGAATCACGTTGTCGACAGATCATCAATGAGAAAAATCAATTAGACAAAACCAGAAAAGAATTACTAGAACAGAAACAATCACTTGAAGATGAAAATAAACACCTACAGACAATTCTACAAACCATTCAAAGTCAGAAAAGTCAACCTTCGACTTTTCATGTCACATGAAACTCTTCTTCTAGATACACTTGAAAATGTCGATGACATAAATTCAATCGTCGATGCCATTTTACAACTTCGACAAGAACATCTGTCATTAACTACTGAACTGAACCGCAAACACGAAGAAATCAATCGAGATAATGAAAAGTTAGTATTGAATATGCAACAGCAACAACATCTGTTAGATGAATGCAATCGATCGAAGAGTGAATTCGAAAAGCGCTTACTCGATGACGAACAGCAGTTGAGAAATTTACAACGAGAACTGAAAAATAAAATTGAACAGTATGAACAATTACAAAACGAATACCAAACTTATAGAGAAGAAAACTCTGTAAAGAAAGCCATTGACGTACCCCTGACGAAATCACCTGAAGTAATTCTCGATATCGAACAACCTTCGCTACAAGTCTTTCCAGTTCAACAAAAAGTGGAATCGAATAACTGGTAAGTCAACTCGAATGAAAACATTTTCTCGTAATTTTCTACTCTTAGGATGACGATTAATATACATGATGAGGAACCTTCGTTAACTACAATGAATAAACGTAAGTTGTACGTCTGTCGAGAATGTGCATTTAAGGATTGTTGTTCAGATTCTTCGATTAGTACGTCAGCAGCATTATTAAACATGTTCGGCGAATTAAAAAGGTAGAGTCAGCCGATGGATGACTTCTCACTGATTTACAAAATCTTGTTTTTAGTAAACTTGGAATCACTTTAACACATCGTCCTCGGTCGTCGTCCGTGTTTTTCTTTTACTTATGCGCCGTTCATTTGTTGACGTTTTATTTATTATTTCTCCGCCATTGTTAATCATTTGCATTTTGTTTCTTGCTATTTCCAATAATCTTTTCGATGGGAGGCAATTACTCTTCGAATATGTTTTAGATAAACATGCCGCTCGTCTTTCGTGAAGTCACTGGCGATCTGTTCTCAGTTGCATCTAATGTTTCGCTCGCACATTGTGTTTCGCAGGACATGAGCATGTCTAAAGGCATCGCCACATTGTTTCGAAACAAATTCGGGAAAATCAATGAGCTGAAAAGTCAAAGTAACGATTGTTCATCGTCTCTCTTCTTCAAATGATTTTTTGCTCTATGTAGATACATCGATTGGCGGTTGTGCGTATATCACAGCTGCCAATCGTCATGTGTTCTATTTAGTAACGAAAGAAAGATATTTTTATAAACCAACCATGTCATCGCTAGAATCAAGTCTTCGCGCAATGAGAGATCTATGTATTAAGAATGATATTCATCAATTAGCAATGCCTCGTATCGGTTGCGGATTGGATAAACTCAATTGGGATCAAGTATCTCGGCTGATTCAACGTGTATTTGAAGAAGATGATATTGAGATTACTATTTATTCTATTTGAAATCTTTTTTATCTGTGTAATATTTCGATGGTGAACAAAAACAAATAAAAAATGATTTTTATACCAAACAAACGTCATACTACAGATTTCACATATAAAATCATATATTCTTATTCACCTTTTCCATCTGATTAGCAAGACCAATGTCCGACAATAGAAAAAAAGAGCCTTTTTCTCCTCTTGAATTACAACCGATGACGAGATGACTGAACAAGAAGGGAACATAATGTTCATGATTTCATTATCACTCCATGTTGCCATGCTAGCAGCGGTAACTTGTTCAAAATGTGATAATAGGCATATAATAGAAAAAAGTGAACGTGTGATACATGATGTTGGTTGGATGAAAGGTGCATACCACAGGAGAATAGCTATTTCGTATCCACGTGCATCGAGAAATATCGACTCGTTCGCGTGATGATAGAAAATTCAACTCACGATTAATTTATTCAAAAACAAGATGGGACAAATTAAGCTGTGACAAGAACAATCTCTTCTCGAGAGAATCTCAGCAGGATAAAAAAGACATTGTTCATTTCATAGTTCTCATAGATACGTTGATTCTCGGACTAATCGAAAAAATTAAGATCCAATCATGCTTAACTGCAAGATATTGGCTTTATTTAACCATTCCAACAATGACTAATCAGTCCAATCTATCGTGTCGTATCAGTCAAATTAGTGACGTAGAATTTATGTAATTCAGACCGTAACCATGCCTATGTTTCTAACATAACTAGCTATCAGGAAAACGTTCGTTGCAACGACAAGATGTCTGATATCCGTTATGACATAAGATGATGATGATCAGCATTTGTTTGTCGAAGAAATCTAACAAATTGAGACGATAGAGAATGATAATTCTTCAAAAACGATAATGAACAAGATTGTTTGTTGAGTAGAGGAAGAAATATGTACACAAGGCGACTTGATTTTTCTTCGATGTTCAATTTCGCATCGATGATGATAGATGAAAGTAAATCACCGAAGAGAACAAGCTGGTAATGGACTATACAAAGAAGAAAATAACACGTGAAATATGTTCTAACGTTTTTCATTGAATTAATGAGAATACTTTCATGACAAAATCTTTTTTTCTCTATGCAACGAATGTTATTCACACATGATATGGATACATCGTTCTTTTTCCTGTTCATTTTTGTAGTTATGAATGAACCCGACATGAATAAGTGAATGCAATTATCACTTAAAATCAAAGTTTTCTAAACGATGACCTGCTGTGCTTGACGTATGATGTGGAATTTATCGACATTTTTCTTCTTTCTTTACCGTGATTTATCAGAAAGAAAGATTTCTTTCTTTTTCTTGATTTTCCTATTGGTCAATGCGTATCATTGGTTGATTTTGCTCTCTCCTCTCCTTCTCTCGATTGACATATTATTCTTTTTTATTCTAACATCCGTTCATTACTGTTCATCTTTTTCTTTTAGTCGATTAGCACCTGTCGCATATAGAGCGTGAACAGCAGCACTATGCTAACGCCACTCGCAACAAAAGAAGAAGATGAAACTAAACTTTCATCCGAGTACTATTCTCCACACTACACACCTCAACATCACCATTACTATTACCATCCGATTCCATTCAATGACGATTCAAATAATCTTCATCATCCTCAAACTCCAAGTGTCTATGATCCAACTCAATACTATGCCTTATCTCCTGGATATTCTCAATCTCAAAGTACTGCACCTACGCGTCTTAACGAAGACGACCCAAACAATCAATTGTCTTCGACAATCTATATGCCCATTTATCATCATCATCATCGGCATCAATACTCACCTGACGAAATCATATATCCACAGAAATCAGTGGATCAACAATCAGCATCGATCTATGATTACAACATCTCACCAATCCCACCCATACCACCGAATCAAATGTTTCATCAGCATCCAAATTATATGCAAACACCTACAGAACAAACGCCTTGTAGTACCAGCAACAGTGGTGACTATATGACTCCCTATGTAAGTGAAAATTTCATCGACTTTATTGATACCAAGCTTTGTTTTCATTGCAGTCACCGTTGAATGGAGCTTGCCGGTCCGACTCAATCATTGTTGAGTTAGTCAATCGGCCATTATGGTTACGGTTCGCTCCCCACACACTTGAGAATATTATCACTAAAAGTAAGGCAATGCTGTTTGTCTGAATCTGCGAATTGATTTGAATTTGATTCTCTTTACTTAGCTGGTCGTCGAATGTTTCCAACTCTTGAATACAAAGTCTACGGATTGAAACCTGAAGCAACCTATAATATGTACGTGGATATGATTTTAGTTGATGTGAATCATTGGAAATTCAATTCGGGTAAATGGGTCCCATCGGGCCAAGCTGAACAATGTCAAAAAACAAGTAAAGAACCGGAAATTTCTCACAATGAACATTGATCGACACGAATTCATTGTAGATCATGTGTATTTACATCCCGATTCACCCAACAGTGGTGCACATTGGATGCGAAATGAGAAAATTTCTTTTTCAAAACTAAAACTAACAAACAACAAACAATTACCAACAGGGCATCCACAAAATCAAGTAAAATATCCTTCAAGGCAACTTCGAAACGAAAATAATCACTTCTCTATCCTTCAGATGACGTTGATTCTCAATTCTATGCATAAATACATGCCACGCTTGAATATCGTCGAGGTCAGTGGTCGTTCGTCTGATCCAACTTCATCAAACAAATCGAATTCGCCACCCAAACATACTTTTACATTTCCTGAAACACAATTCATCGCAGTTACTGCTTATCAAAACACTGATGTAAGTCTCTCGTTCTGCATTCGATGCTGTTTCATCTCCGATACTTTCGTAGGTCACGCAATTGAAAATCGATAACAATCCATTCGCTAAAGGCTTTCGCGACAGTTCCGACAATCGGTAAGTCCCATTTGCTGTTGATTTATTACTTACGCTGATTTGTCTGTAGTAGTACCTATCATTCATATTCGTACGGTTCTCCATCGCCGCCTTACGGCTTGGTAAATAGCGCACCATTGGATTACTATGGCAATGCTGCTTATGAGCATCAACAGGCATATAAAAAGAAACGACATAATTAAATTCGATTTGCATTCTTCATTTTTTCTCTCCTTCCGTTTGTATTTGTGTGTTTCTTGATGTCTTTTTCTGGTTAAATAAAATATTTTCGTAAATCGACATATCATTGAATGACAAAGCCACCCTTCGATACACATCGAGGTACTGATTGAATAATACAATAACACACGGTGAGATTGGCTCTTCTTCTGCATGAATGTAATCAGATATTTCAAGGTTCGATTACATAACGGACAATGCTTTGGAAAATATGATCATTTTTAACCTATTGCTCCTATGATCCTCTAAGTTAATCGCCGAAACGAAGTATCATATCGTAGGACAGAATATTATCCATCGCTTTTTCCTTCCTTCCTTTCTTTCTTTCTGTACGATTCTATTTATCTCTCGCCTTGGAATCCTCACATATGTAAGCAGACTGCCTATCCCAAAAGATTCGTGGCCTTGTACATGTATATAAATACGTCATACATGTAGAAGATAGAGCATGGAAGCATAAGGGAAAATGATAGAAGAATATACGCATACATATCCATCCAACATGTTGCCATCAGCTCCGCCATTGCCTGATTGTTTGCTGAAGTCTTATTCTACGAGCAATCCATGCGCACCTCGGCAAATCTATAAAAAAGATGATCCTGAGTAAGAGATGAATAGATGGAAGTATGCTGGTTTGATGTTTTCGATTAGATACGGTCGACCACCGAAAGGAAGCCGAACAGAACAACGTGGCCTTGCTGCTCAAGCACATATTCAACAAGAAGTTAAATATCTATGTGAGATCATCAAAAGCATGGGAACGAAATTAGATGATTCGTCTACACCAACTTACGAAATCACATTCAAACAATTATTCGACGTATGTTTAGAGCCAAATCATTTTAGTGTATTGAAATGAAAATTCGTTTTTTCGTTAGTTTTACACAAATATCTCAAATAAGTTAGTCGGCATTTTACTTCGAGCACGCAAACATGGTTATATTCATTTCGACGATGAACATGAAGTTCTATTTCAAGGCAAACATGATCATGTCAAAATTACTCTTCTTCAACTCCCAACGAATTAATACAAAATCCACTTTGTCTTGAATAATTTTTCAGATTGTTTTCTCGTTCAAAATGCTGATATTCACATTGGTTGATGTGTCAAAAGCCATATGATTTTTTTCACAGTTCTTAGTGACATTGTGACTTGTAAAGTTTTTTTCAATTTTCAATAACGGAATCCAAATTTCCTTTATATTCTTTGTGTCAATATTTTATTTTATGCTGAAAAGAACACATTCGAAGAAACGCATTTGTTATCGAGTATATTAACAGTATGACTCAACACTCGACCGAACGTTAATATAACCAAGTTATGTACGCTGATGTTTTTTCTTTACTACAACGAAGAGAAACAGAACGATTCTGTTTATATCCGAGCTCTATCGTACAAAGTTTCTCTGACAGCCTTCACTATGATTATTTATTTCTTACTCCGCCTGTATGCAACCCAGTCGTAGGTTTTCAACGAAAGAATAACAGTTCCATCTGAGTGTTTTCAATGCTTTGCTGTTTAGGACGCACGTATATCACAAAAGCGTGATTTAACAAAGTCACAGGATATGAACAGATGTGTTAAGCGGAACAATGCATTCATTTAGTAAAAGTATATATACATCATTCTTTTTTCTTCGTTTCCATACTCATTGAGTTAGTAGTTAACCTTTACAACAGCCGACCTCTCATTTGTTAACAGTCAACGAGATTGAAATGACGAAGTGCTATTCATACTAACTTGCTTTTCAGATGTTGAGTGTATATATTTTATTTTCTTTGACATATTTTGTACACAGCTCAGCTCTTCGTTCATCCGAATTGCATATCCATTCCGGTGGTCGTGCACTGAGTGCTCTTCAACGTCTTTTAAACTTTTTTGAATCCAATCCAAAGAACTTAAACGTTGACGGTCTGTATGGGTTACGCATCGCTCAAGGTCAACTTCAAGCTCTAGAACAAATGTTCAAATCAGCCGAAAGTAAACGAACGCATCTGACCGATCACAATCGAATCGTTTCAATGCTATTGACGCAAACGGAACGCATTGCTAATATAAGTTTAGATGCACTTGTATCTGAACAAACATCGTATCTGAACCAATTCTTTCTGGTCGCTTCGAAACCATTCGTAATCGAATATGAAAGTCGACGAATTGATAGAAATTTTATCGTGCCAAATCAACGGAGTTCACGATTCGATGAGGATGATTCGGACCAATGTTTTGTTCAATTATTTGGTAAATTTCACTTTCTACTTCATCTATAAATGAATTTTTTTCCTTGTCAAGAATCCAGTCGTCGCGCCGATGTACAAAAATGCACGATCAGTGAATCATGTTGGTCAATGCTAACAGATCAAATTGGCAAAGATTATCGGTTAACTCATCAACTTCTCTGGTTTCTAATTGCAAAAAACATCGGTTGCATCAATCAAAAGTCTGCCGCTCAACATTTAAATCGTTTAGAAGATCTCTTCTGTACCAACATATACGAAGATGCGAAGCTGAACTTTGTCAATCACATCAACCAAGATCTCTTTCTCGAACAACTATTACTTTGTTCCATGATTGGTTATCAAGATTTTCTCCGTTCAGACTGGTTTCATGAAATTCTGACTTGGCAACATCCGGAATACGATTGTTTCAGTGAAGAATCGGAACAAATGGGATATCGTTCAAGAAACAGACGGCATTTATTGGTTGAACAGGAAATGGATCATGGATGCTTAGCTCACAAGAGTGGATTAGCAGCTGGCTTATTAGCTACTTATTCGCGAGTTTTTCTACAAGAATATTGAGCGAATATTCTCCACTAACGGACAATTGCATCGTTCGCATTTTGTTTTTTCTTTTCATACTGATCTATGTGTTGTTAATGACAAAAGAATAAAATGAACGAATTTGAACATGACATTCATTATTCAATCAATACTCTTTCGAGTTACAGCATCTTTCTTTTGTATTCTATCATGTATTGAAGATAAAATTTCTCTCCCAATCATGACTATTTACAAATATGCATTCTAAATCGTAGTACAAACGAAATAAAAGGCATGCACTGCTTTGAAAAGGTGGCTCGATCATTTTCACCTTTAAATCACGTAAAGACTTCGCTTAAATCTTCTTTCAATTACATTTTATTAACATCATTCGACGACAAATGCCGACGAGAAGTAGTAATCATGAACATGAGCAGCTGGTTAGTCTTCTAAATCAATTAATGGATGAACGGGATCTATTAGCCCGAGAGAATGAGTACTTAAAAGCAAAATTAAACGAATCGATTCTAGTGGAAACACTCAATGAAATGAAGAAAGAACGTGATCTTCTATTAAAGTTATTAACAAATCTAACAAACAAGTATCAACATGAAAAGTATGTCAATGACTTTTTGGAACTGAAGGGTATGGTGAATATTCAATTTTGCTTTTAGAGACATCCACTCAACGATGTCACGTCAAAGTCATCCGACAGCGGTTAATTACGGTCATGTTCATCGATTAAAAGCTAATCTTGAACAACAGCAAACAAAACCAATTCATTATGTTGAAAAACGCAAAGATTCGTTTGATCGTTTATCATCAACATCATCATCAAGCAACACTCAATTAAGACCTCCTCAACCTGCGAAACGAATCTTCGTACTCAAAACTCCCCAAACATTATTTCGTAAACCTGATATTCAATTGAAACACAGTCTTAACTCTGCATTTCAACACTATCGTTCACAATCCTTACAAAATCTTGCATAACTTACCTAACATGTCTCTATTCTCTTATGATTTGACCATTTAGAAGAGAATTTGTACAAACAATATATATACATACTTTATTTCTTATAATATCAAAAAAAAACCGTTTACTGGTACAAATAAGGAATTCTCATTGCATACATAGAAAACTTTTCTATCACTTACAATGCTTCGACAACCATTTGAAACCTTCGGCTAGACCGTCTCCGTTCAAAGCTGAGCAAGGCATGATTGTATAAGGGCGAGTCAATTTATCCAAATGTAAAATTTGACGGATTTCATCTGGTTGCATACTTCCGGAGGCATCTTGTTTGTTACAGAGTACAAGCAAACTAACATTACGCATTTCACGATCAGTTAAAATCCTTTCAAGTTCATGACGTGCTTCGTCCATTCGGTTATGATCTGTGGAATCAATCACAAATATCAAACCTTGAGATCCTGTGTAATAATGACGCCACAATGGACGGATTTTATCCTAGAAAATCACACATATGATGAAGACTGTGAAGTGATTCGTCGGTTTTACTTGTCCGCCAACGTCCCACACAGTGAATTGAACGCGTTTGGAAATGATTGTTTCAACTGTGAATCCAACTGTCGGTACTGTTGAACGAAATTCATGCAAACGAAGACGTGCAAGGATCGATGTTTTACCAGCATTGTCTAAATAAGTTCAAATAAGAATAAATTATGTCATTGAGATGGTCTACCGAGTCCAAGCATTAATATTCGAAAACGCTTTTTACCAAAAACAGCCCCCATATTTTGTATTTGATTAGAAATTCCTCCTGTATTTATACAGAATCACATCTATAAGATTAGTAATCTCAACAAATTCTATTTTGATGTGACTCACTATATCAGACTTTGTTTTGACATTCACCAATAGAAATATTCAAGAGGGCGGTAACGAAGTTTTGTCACTTGACAACAACGACAATGAACGGTTCAGTGAATCTCCTATGTTACTATTGACTACAGATATGTGCGATGAGATTCACTGTTACTTCTTGATAAAAGAACAAAAAAACACAATTTTTCTAATTTTCTTCTTTTTCAACATGGTTAATTTTCAAATCGAACAGACAGTTAACAAAGGTTCACGTTTTCATTTGTCAATAAAGCAAATAATCATCTTCTTCTCCTCCTCTAGGAAACGACTCAGGTTAACAAATAGATAGTTCATTAGAGAAGCATCTATTGTTCCGACATTGACATTGAACTCAATAGCAAGAAAAAGAACGCAAAAAAGTTGCGAGACAAGCCATCTTGTCTCAAGAAATAAACTGACAGCGGTGGGATTCGAACCCACGCCTTTTACGACTGGTGCCTAAAACCAGCGCCTTAGACCACTCGGCCACACTGCCGTTCTTCATCATCCGCTCATTAACACGTCATCCGAAAAATTCTATTCACACGTGAATTAACATTCACGTACATCTGCTTATCTTCGAAAAGAATTCAAAGAATGAACGTTAAATCTCGATTAAGGTGTTAACATATGTATTGTCTAGTGTGACAACATGTTGAGTAAATATTTAATCGTCTTCTCTCTCACAATATATTAGTAAAGCATTTTGTCGTTAGTAATAAAGAATTATCAATTCATTTCAATGGTTTACACATGATCAATATTGATCGAGTCATTAAATAACACGGCGCAATTTTCTTGCGATAATTTATTCATTTGCAGTGTACGTTGACACATAAACTGCCCTTGCGTTTGTTTTTGAATCTTCGCTCTCCATCGATGAACGATTCAACTATGAATGGCTCAAGACACAGGCATGTTCTTTTGAATAGAAGTTGTGAGTGAAATCTGATCGACGGATAAACAAAAACACTGAATCTTATGCACCTAAATATTAATGTATGAAAATATCGACCAGATGTGTTCTTTATATCAATATCAACGTTTACAGTTACATACTGTCAGTATCGAATTGCCGATGATATTGTTCGTCTGTCTTCTAAATGACAGCATTTAATAATAGTAACATCTCTTTCGAAAAAAAATACAAAATAAAAAAAAGAAGAAAAAAAAACTGCGAACACTGATAAATTGTAATGAGGAAAAGAAATAGAGAGATAGGAAATGAAAACTAAACTTTTCGCTTTGGTGTTAATGTTGACGGCACATCCTCGGTACCATTTTTCAAGAATGAGCTAAGATCGCAAACAAATAAACCTTGATTATTGGTTTCAGTTGATTGGTCACGTAAAGACTTGGGCGGTGTTTGAGCAGCTTTGGTTTGACGATGACCATTGATCGGCGAATCGAGTGTTTGTGCTGACGACGTTATCATGTTGAGACTTTTTTCATACGATGTACTTCGATCTTGTCTACTCGGTGTAGAGCTTTCTGTGTTAGTTTGAACATGTTTCAATTCGCGTGTCGTTTTTATTGTTGGTGGCGATGAGGTCGATGTTGTCACTGATGATGAATCATCACTCTTCTGTGATGAAAAGGTAATTTTCTTCACCGTTTGAATATTTACTTGCAGGCCAACGTCACGTGTACTGATGTTACTCCGACTTGTATTACTACGTGATTTGTGTCGTCGATGGCGATGGTGATGTTGATGATGAGGATCGGTAGTCGAAGATGAACCGGTTGATAATGGTGACGGAGACGAATCAGGATACGCTCGTGCTTTGTTTGAATCGATGTCTTCACTTGGAGCGATCGTTAATAGTGTTTGAAAAGAACCATCGCGCTTTTCAATCATGACCATTCGAGATGGTGTTGTTGGAGTATGCGAACGTTGACAACGCGATGGAGAAGTAGCATCATCCATATATCGCAACTAAAGAATGAAAGGAGACAGTCGATAGAAGAAGAAAGTATGAAGTGCATGTCTGAAGAATTTGTTCGATATGTAACTCGATTTGTTCGAAAAAGAAATGTTGATACCTACATTGGGTGACATTCTTCTCATTTGTTCTACTGTTGCGGGAGATGCCGATGGTGGCGGCTCACTAATTGGTTGATGTCGAACAACTGAGTACAGCGTTGTCGGATCGGGCTGTTGAATAATAACCGATTGATTTTCTAAATCAACAAACGAGGAGAATGTTGCCATTGTCCATGTTAGTTGCGTTTGTGAAGCACACGATTTCTTTTCATTGCGATTTGTTAGTTTATTTAGTGATGATGATTCTGGATAGAGTATGTTATCATAAAGTGATTGAGTGTTTGCATAGACAGGCTCTTGTTGGGTGGTGGGAAACTGNTGACATAATCCATAGGATCTAATGAGAAACAAATGTGTAGCGTAAAAGGTCAAATCAAGCATGTGTATTGTGGTATGAAATAACTAGAGGACTAATTATGATTTCACTTTTCTTTTCTTCTTTCTCTTTTACTTCAAACACTTAAAATACAGTACGATTTCGTTCTAACTTCAAGAAGAGTTCTATATATGTCAACATAGATAACCTTCAAAATGACTGTTATACAATAATTGACAGTAGATTAATTGTCGGCAGTCTTGAACTCGAAGACAACGAAGAAAAGTCTTCTCTCTACTGTCTTACTAAACAAATACTATTCTTATCGAAATCGATGTGAGATGTCTAATTACCCAAAGTACTTGTCTGATTTTTAACTCGAATACGCGTCCGTGCGAAGTTCATTTGCGCTTGTTTGAGCAACATTTCTTTCTCATTTTCTTTTCTTGTCATCAAATCAATATAGATAAAGACCAATTAATGAACATACGCGTGTTTAGGCGTATAGGTTACTCATCATGGTCGACCTATTTTTTATTACGTTTGTTCAAATTATCACCAATGATGTTAATTGTTGTATAAAAGTTCTCTCATGCTCCTCAATGATAGACATTGCCAGATCATTTTACACGTGTATTCGAAGATTGTTTTTCTTCTATCGATGGATGTATTCAATCACGTCTTTGAGACAATAGATCGTGCATATGAGACAAGTTTAAAAAAAATAAAATGTTCAATGATCAATTGTCAGGAAGAAGAGTGTCGTATTAGACGATCGATCACTTATACTTAACAGGTGTACTGAATAAACAATGTACGAAAGACAAACAAATAACAACTTACTTCTGTTGATATTGTTCTTGAATTGGTCTGCACATGAATTGACCGTTCGGAGCTGCATGCAGAAAACCATTTTGACCAGCGTTTTCTCCATGATAGCGGATTTCTCATTGGTATTTGTTGTTGTTGGCTACTTAGAGAAATATTTTCCTGATTAACATTACGATCGGCAGTAGGCATTGATATGATTTGTGCTTTTCTTGATAACGATAACGATACTAGCTGCTGTTGCTTTGCGATTCTCTTCTTCCATTGGTGATGATGATGACGAGGATGGGGATTGTTATTATTATTTGAATCGATCGTTGTTACGTTACTCTTCATTGCTCTGTGATGTTCCATATCTCCGCTCTTCTTCTATCAGTTGTTGTATACAAAAAAGAAATGAATACAGGTCATGAAAGAAGAAACGATCAATGTTCAATCATTTCTTTTTTCTTCGTATTCTTTTCGTCAGTTATTTTTACTTGATATATTGAACATTGATGGTAAATTAATTAGGACAGCAAGGACGTGAAGCAAAGCGAACGAAAGTTTAATGATAATGATTGTATAAAACGAATGAGAACAACGAAATGATCTCTAGGTGGACATATGTATCTTCAACTGTCGACTATACGCCAGTGATCAAAACCATCTATCATGGATAATCGTGTTATTATGAGATGTGTATGATTATTATTTGAGGACGAATGAAGTAGGTGGAGAAGAAGGAATATCTGGTTTGCCAACGGCAATGGACGCGTTGTGACAAACCTACAATCAACACAAAGAGAGAACGAGGAGAAATCAATGACATTTTGATCATAAAAAAAAGAGCAGAGAGAAGAAAGCGAGAGAGGAGAAAAAATAGAAATATTCAGACGTGAGACAGACAGGTGATCACAGTTGAATAGGTGTCATGATATGCATATAAACGTTACCTCCTATCTCTCGAAATTATTGATGATCGAGGAGAGAAAGAACGGTTTCGATCTTCCTCACGACTTCATCTCGAATAGTTCTAATGACTAGTCATTTTTACTTAGTGACTATTTACATGTACAATCATTAAAAAGACATCAACATTGTTTTTGATATTAAGACATTTATCTCTCGTTTAACCGCGTATATGTGAAACCCTTCCGGCAAATGATCGCTCATTGATTCTATCAGTTTACTCGTCACTATATTTGATCGCAAAGTAGAAATACGTAGACGTTGATCAGTTTTGTCTTTCGTTTTTGCTATACTTGTACTTCTTAACTGATAGATCGTTAAAAAGACTGATCGACGATAATGATACGAAAGAGAAAGACGTACAAAGTAATCTTGATGATGTAATTATGTCTTTGTTGATGTTAGAAGTGGTACTGATGACTTTGTTTTATGCATGGTCTATCGAATTCCTTATTATTACATATAACATTGTTTCCTTCATTGTCAAATGTGATTTCAATGACGAAAAATTCGGTCTGTACATATCTTACAAATGCCGATAAACAAATAAATGAACACTTGTGTTCGATAGGGACATTATGATGAGGAAATTCGTCATACTGGCAGAGAAAATTGAATGTCAACGAGTCGAAGAAGTAAATACCTGGAGTAATTTTGTGCAAAGTTACATTAAGATCTCTGCCTGTGAAAATCTGAGCTTTGTGTGCAACTAGAGCGATAGATAGAAGTTCTAATTGAATAATAGTTTCTCATTGCATATATTTAATAAAAAGTTTAATCGATTCTGATGGTCTTTGCTTGCTCCAGCGATAATCGTTTCTGACAGAGCAGTAGTGCAAAGAGCACCATGTTGGATAGCATGCTACTGCAGACGAAATTCGAGATATGTTTGGAGGAATGATCATCACTATCTCTGTGATGTGACTTTAAAAGTAGATATTTATGCTTATTTAGGCTACTTATCTGTTGTTTTTTGCAGCAAACATTTGAGATGATAAGAAGAGAAAGTATAGAAAAAATTCGATCTATTTGATTTATTTTATTATGAGAATAGAACATAAAATTTATCCGAGATATTCCAATAGATTAAAACAGAGCTCTAACCCATGTATTATTAACACATTCGTAATTGCTTTGGTTGACCGACTCACTTCCGTATATTTTAGCTACAATTTTGTCTGGTTTTGCTGGACACCATGTTTTTATCCCAGTCAACAGACATGGTTTCAAAGGAAATATCCATTCGATGGGCAAGGGTAGCCAATAGTAAGACCGATCGTAGATCGTCAGAGTTTTACCTCGATATGTTGAGTTTTTTGGATCATCTGGATGATATGTATTACCAGGGTAAATATCCACGAATTTATAACTTCCTCGACGTTTGAAACGTGCATTTGGTGCGACGAAGTTAATATCTTGATCGTAAAAATACGAACGATTTTCATAACCAACAGTAGACCATTGAGGCTGAAGTTTTAAGTAATAAGTAGCGGAAAAGTTGGTTTCTGCAAAGGGAACAAGACGCGCTGTGTCCGATTGGAGCATTAGAACATCAACATCACCATCGTAAGATATTAAATTGCCGTGTTGAACATAACCTACAAGTGTTCCGTAAAAAATGCAATACGGTATGTTGTTTTCATGAGCGAATTGCGTCCAGCCATGAAATAATTCGAGTAAAAATCGTTGTCGATCAGTGTCTCCCGATTCGCATGCAGTGAGATTTGGAAGGAAAGTTTCGCTTGAATAATTCGTCGTCGGAGTAAAACCTGCTGAATTCTTATATTCATAAAAATTATAAATGAAAATCAACGCACTGCATAAGAACACACATGTAAATCGTATAAATAATTTTCTGATGAAGTTCGTTGGGAACTGTCTGATGGTACCTTGCATATTGTGAGTAAAACGGTCGTCTCTTTCTTCTTACAGCCTTATCTAATTTTCTTTTCTGACTGCCTTCTCTCTCTTGTTTGCATTCTTGAAAAGTGTAAAGAAAAGTATGCCTCCTCTTCCTACACTGACATACCCTGATTCGAGGGAAAAAAGTCGATTAACAACACAAGAAACGGTCATACGTGATGAAATGAATATTCAACCAAAACAACAATCGATTCACTAGAGCTAAGATCGATACGAATGCATTCTTCGTACCTAAATTTATCCGTTCGTACGTAGAATGTCATATCGTTATCAAAATAGAACAGATTTTTGGATTTTGTAGTCTACTAGCACAGTTTTCACTCGTAACAGTTCTTAGACAGCTCGATGCGTTGTCTGTACGATAGAAGTTTATTTAAACATGGCATATATGTAGAGAATATTACGACTTTTAACCACTAACCCAGCTTTGATTCACACATTTTTTGTTTGTTTTTGTCACTGCCGATCGTCCATATAGGTTAGCGACGATGCTTTCAGGTTTTGCAGGACACCATACGAGTATACTACTGAAATTACAGGGTGTTAGAGGAAATGTCCACTCAATTGGAGAGCTTATCCATTTATATGAGACATTATATTCAGTTAGAGTTGTCGTTACATTCTTTCTATCTTTTGGCCGATCAGGACGAAAGTCATAGATAGGCCAAATGTCAACATGATACCGAAGTTTTCGATGTATGAATCGAGCGTTCGGGGCGATAAAGTTAAAACCTTTTGCTGGATAATACGAACGACCTACGTATCCAATGTAATGCCATTGTGGATGGACTTTTAGTTCATAGATCGACGAGAAATTCGTATCTGCAAATGGAACAAGGTGTCGCGTATCTTGGGATAACATCAGAATATCAGTATCCCCATCGTGAGGTAACAAACCACGACGTTGAACGTAACCAACAAGCGATCCATAAGCAATCCAATATTGTATATTATGTTCACGCGCAAATTGAGTCCAAGCATAGAGTGTTGTGAGTAAAACTTCTTGCCTTGGTCGATCCCTTGAGTTACATGTTGGTATCTGTTCCAATGCGCTTCTGATGGTGCTATTGACGTTCACAATAACACTTATGGTTGTAATGTTAGTCTTGGTATAATAAACGACAATACAGAGTGCGAAAAATAATAGAAGCAGATGTGTACGTCGTGGGAACAATTTGAGAGAGATTGAGTGTTGATGATCTATAGTCGGAGTAGGAGATTTGCAAGTACTGTCGTGTACGATTTCCATTATGGGATGACCACCTGTATCTGAATTTTCATAAATCATTATTTCTTATATAAAAAAAAACGAATCGGTTTTCAATCAGTTACTTTCAACTAGACAAGATTGGAGGAGATTAAGTAACATGTGCATACGCATTACACCAGCACGCTTTTAATACAAAGAGGAACTTAAGTTATACCTTGAAGTAAACTGCCGTGTCAAATTACATCGCTCTGTAAAGAAATTCTATAGGTCCTAAAGACAGCAAAAAAGACAATGAGCTCTTATGGTCACATCGAACAACGTTAAAATTGAAAGAGAGAAGTGAACACTCATGCAAGCTAAACGATGATGGATTAATCATTTCGACAACTAAATGAAATGATCTCATTGAATTGAAAATGTTCAAAAGGGGATCCTCTCGATTCGTCCCAAATTAGTCAATTTAGTAAGTCGTCCCTTAAAATTGATTCCCAATTCGTCCCTTCTCGATCGGTCCCTAACTGTCATATTTATTGTACATATATATTTTTCGTTCTCTTTCTTTTCTTTCCTTTTTTACAACAGGTATTTTCCCCCCTAACATTCTCTCTTACACACGATTGCTATAGTATTTTACCCTTTATGAAGATGTATCTTGAAATATTCCAACTTATATAATCTGTACTATAAATATACGCTATCTCATGTGTGAAAGGCGTTGATCAAACTTACGAAATAATTTAATAGTGTCATTGTAATTATTTGACTTGTTATGCTTCGATTTACATTATCTGAACGCGGTAGAAATATTCTTAATCACAAGGAACATCAGCACACCAAGAAAAGAGATAACAAGTCGTCACAAGAAGGTCGTGCTGTCAAGACACGTCTGTTGAAAGTGTAACAATAGTAGTTGTTCTCTATTGTTTTTGATAATACAGGGATGTTTTTTGACAAATAGAAGCCTCTGACAGATAAAAAAAATGCTCAAGAACATTAAATTTGATTCATATAACTATTTAGGGACTGATCGAGAAGGGACGAATTGAGAATCAACTTTAAGGGACGACTTACTAAATTGACTAATTTGGGACGAATCGAGAGTAAACCTTCAAAAGTATTATTTTCGGTGGTTCTCTTCTGATCGATTACTCATACGAAATAAAACTATATTTGATCGCTTTGACTTGCGCTGGGAACTTCATACACACTTCTTCAATAAAACGTTGAAAAACTCAACAGAAAGCTCGCCTATGGGTGGATTATCTTATTTGTCACACAACTAATTATATTCAGATAAAAGGATGTCTAGAAAAGTGATTGATCAAAAGATGCTATTGATGTCGAACACCTGAGTTGGAAAGCTCTCTATCAAATGAAATTCGATGAAACACACCACAGTGTAATTGTATAATACTAAAGTATATACACACTCGTATATATGTCTATTCGTTGAAATATCAACGCAAGTGTTTAGTATTGTTTATCGTATGCAATACTGTTTTTTTCTAAGGTATAAAAGTCGAACACATCTCAAAAGTTTTGCAAAGTTGGCTTTCTATCAGGTCTTACAAGCTCTTCGTAATAAAGCTCCTTCAGACTTTGCGATTTTCTCCACGAGCCATAAGACATCAGTCATGTGTCTCTTCTCTCTCCTGCCAGCTTTACAACCAGTCTATCCGTTGTTTCTTCTTTCTCTCCTCTCGTTCTGTCTGTTTTCTTTTCTTTCTTTCCTGTAAACTGGTTGTTTAACATTTAAATAAAGCGTTGACTCCAAAAAAAGACTTTGCGCAAATAATCTCTCTGAATATTTTAATATATTTTTTAGTACTGCCACGACCATGTGGCCATCAGTTATTCTTACGCAAATATAAAAAAAGTATTTTGCTATTTTCCGTTATTGAATTAGCTCAGGTGGAAAGGTATAGTGCTATCATAACATCAAATATAAATTCAGTCATAGTGCACGTAGAGAGTTAAGTATAGAAGCTCTTTTTTCTTTAACTAAAGAAGGGAGATTGAGCCGAAAGAAGGTTGGCTCGCCAGGAAGGGCGAATTTTGGTGGTACGAAATTAAATATAGAATCCACAGCGAAGATAATCCACTTATATACATCAGAAAGATAATACAGACGTTTTCTCTGTTCTCAATTGAAATCTGTAAATCGGATTCGAAGTTCTTCGAAAAGAATAGTTCCGTTCACATTTTTCTACACATTCGAAACTCAGTAAAATTCTCATATTCACCAGTGTGAGCATCACCAGCTTTTTTCGTGCACATATAAAACTGAAAGCAGTGTTTTCTCAACTAGTTCAACGAAGAATTCTATCGAAAAAGAAGTTCATACCATCTTCATCGTATTTCATTGCAGTTATTTGAAGAAAATGTGTCCGACAATGAATCACTAAACTCACGCATTCCCGCAAATAACAAAGGTTCCATATCTCGTGAGAATCTTTCCGTTTTAAAAACATACTTTTCTATTGACACTACATTGCAACACGTAGGCCACCGAGTTATCGTGTCTACGAATATCGAAGTCGTCGAATGGCAGAATTGATGATCAATATTCTATCTCGTCGTATTCTTTAGCTCCAGATAGAACATATCCACATGAACGTGCTTATCTAACAAACGACCTTCTGGTATACTCTTTGACTATTTGAAAACAACTCTTGAATTTCATAATATGCAGTGTTTCTGCGCTGAGCGTTGGAACCATTACCTAATAACAACAAACTAATGGTAAGCTTTGCCGGCAAAAACGCCGAGTCTTTCGAAAAAGTCGAGATTAAATTTCAGCATTCTTGTAAAATATTTCATTTCTCGCGGGAAACTGTATATGGTCGAAAATTCAACGCAAATATTTACCATTTCATTATCATTCTGGCTTTCTCACACATTTTTTCATCATCTACGCATTGAATGTGCATCTATGAATCACCACGAAACTTGTTACTTCACATCTGCATATGATATGACTTGGCTAACGATCAATTTAGCGCTGGTTTGCAAAATACAGTACAAAGCACATTATGCAGTCGACACTACCGACAAAAACATATGTTCAATCTAACAATCATCTCGGAAAAGTCCTGTGTGAACCTCGTTATTTTCGTCGACATACAATAAGTGACGAAGCTTCCTTCCGTCTTCCGGTAACAACTGTTTCTCAAGATGAGAAATCTATCCACTCATTTTGACAAAAATCAAAACTGTAATCAGTTCGAGAATTTTCGCCTTCATAATAAGCAGGAATATCATGCATAGAAATAAATAAAAAAAACTTCTAATCAAATAGCTTCGCACTTCACAGGTTTTATTACAGCCGTTGTTTGTCACAGTAAAAGAATGTACCGTTTTTTTTCCGGAATACATTATCGAGTAACATAAACTCATCGAAAAGCACATCAAAGCATTTTACTTGAGAAATACTAGAGTCTATATCGAGGTAGTCAGCGCAAAACGTCTTTGGTGAGTAAATTGACTATCAGCTTGTCGGAGAGCTGTCGTTGGAATTCTGAAAAATTGATTGACTTTTCCATGTAAATCCATTTTCTATGAGAATCAATTAGGCGTGGAAACATCATAGATAACCACTATAAAGACTACATCAACTCGAATGGAAGACATTTTCTTCATGTCTTTCAATCAAAACTATCTCTTGTGTCTCACAGATTTTCCCCTGGCTTGAACGTTTCGTTTTAGTGTTTGCGTTACTTTACTTTGTTTGACTACTATTGAGATAATCGCGAGGCAAAGTCAGAAATCTGATTGCGTAGGCTAAAAGAGAAATGAAAAATAAAAGAGAAAAAATTTGCGTAGGACCAAATAAATGCCTTGCTTTGCACATTTTAAAACTATTTTATCTATTGTGTTGTAGAGAGACAATGAAGTCAACGACGCAGATGAAGGCTGTTTTTTACAGGCTCTTCCAAGTGATTGTTATTAGTGTGACAATGATCTGTCTCATCCAAATGGCAAATCGAACCAGCACGTTCACAACATTGATCCTTGGGGTAAATAATACCAATACAACAGCTTCAAGACGCACTCATTTTGATTATTACATCTGTACACAAGTGTGGAACGAAACGGACGAACACCTCATTGAATGGATAGAACATCAAATATTTCGATTAGGCTTCCGCAATGTTTGTGTAATTAGCGTGGAAGAACCATTAGATAAAGCAATCGTTACACGCTATCGACTGGCTACGATTACCAAGGCTGAACGTGCTCAAGAATGGAAATATTGTCTGGAATGTTTCACAGATCCGCCAATGAAACCACAAGATTTGCTCATGCTGCAAGTGAGCCAATCAGACATAAAATTCCATTTCATCACATTATAATTCGAATCGTAACTTATTGTTTCTGTAGGATATTGACGAGTTTCTCAATGTGCAACGGTCGGATGCTATAGCCGCTCATTACGACGCGTACGATCTATTTCATTTTACGGATTTACGATATGGCTATGTCTACGAAACCGACAAAGAAATGGAGAATAAGTCTTTACTAGAAACGAATGTTTACCGCCGAGCGAATTATTACTTAGGCGAATATATACACCCGCAAGTGACAGAACTATTCGAGTGTAATGGTAGTTGTGCTACCACAAACGGAAAGGTAAGTTCCTTTGTGATTGTCCTGCTTATATACGCGATTTGGATCTTATTTGACGAATTACGTCACACGTTCTCGAAAGTTTACATTGAAAACGTTATAATTTGTCAATCATTGCTGTGAACTGTTCGTTTTAGGAAATGATTAGAGTTGGCGCTATCGAAGAGCTCGGTACACATTATCATACTGCGAATAATCGAAGTGGTGGGAAACGGCTCTATATTGATATGAAAGATGTTCGTCTCAATCATTACTGCATGCGTACTCGTGAAAATTCGTTGATAGCAGGAGGGAAATGGGACAAGAATGGCTACAAACAAGATTTAATCCGACTGAATAATTTTTTCAAAGCAGTCTATGATCCGTCGATTATTTATGCGAAAAAACTTTCACCTTATCGCAACTAATGCGAAATATTTTATTCATATCTATTTATTGCATGCTACTTCCATGAAAATAAATCATCAATCGGTCAAGTGTGACTATAGCTGAGAAGAAAATGAACGTCTGCGGTTAAGATTGCTTGAAATGTTTATGTTGATCTTTTGGAATACTACAATGAGAAAAAGCACACTGTTCATCCGTTAATGGACAACCATTTGGATGAAAGGTATAGAAAAAACAAGGTTTAGTTCGAATAGTTATCTTCGATGACTGTTTCTGCTTTTCGACAATTGCATTTGTTTGTGGATTAGTCAGACTAATCAGTTTTGTTTGCGGATCGAAACAGAGTGCATGACGATAGGAAAGAATGATCGATTTCAAACCTCCATTTTCCGATTTGAGCTCTTCGCGAAGTTCATCGGGTACTAGATCATAAGCAGCTGATAATGTTAACGAAGTATTGCTGTTAACAAGATATTGAAAAAGTATTTGAATAATGGCAAATTTTGTTGAATAGAAAGTCGGTTTTGATTTTGTTACCGAGGATGAATGATTGACAAGTCGTGGTTGAGCATGTTCAAGATTGATATCAATACTGAATTGATCTAATAGACATTGCCGAATTGATTCGGATGATCTGATTGCAAAGTGGTGAGAGAGAAAATGAAATGAGCTTTCGGAATGTGATGAGATTTACCTTTCGTCATCTTTGTCATGTAACATAAAACAAATGTTTTTCGTCGATGGAATTCGTAATTTGTCTTTTTTAATATCGAAATTTAGAATCGTAGCTATTGTCTGTACGTAGTTAAGATACTGTTCATATTGCGTCGATTGATCATGCTTGCCACTCACGAATTTCTTTCCACTAAAGTCGTAAAAACAACACGGCAAAAGAAATACACTGCAATAACATTGCCGAGCTAAAACCGGCAACCATGGTGTTAATTCATCGGAATGGTTTCCAATCAGAATCGTATACTGATTTGAACGAATGAATTGATGTAAACTAGACGATTGCGGATCAATCAGCGATTGCTGATAAAACGACGTACCGAACAAAGACCACGAGCGACGAGAACGCATGTCGATCCCTAGTGCGGCATAGCCTTCGGATGCAAGAATATATACCAATAGTCCATTACCACAGCCGAGGTCGAGAAACTTAATCGGTTTAGCAAACGAAGAAGCATATTGTCGGCAGTAGGTTAACAGATAACTTGCAATACCTAAGGAGAGACATGAAGAGAAGAATTGAAGATAAATGTCTGATTACCTAAATCTTCAAAGACATGCTTTTGAGGATCGGTATTTTCGCACCAATGCTCAGTTAAGTATTTTCCGTATTTGACTTTTAAGCGTTCATATTCACGTTGATATTCCTCAATCGATATCAATTTCAATGTCGTATTTTCTGTACTATTCTCGATATCGTTTTGACCCCATTTGACTATTTTTGATAGCAAAACATCTTTTAACCATAGAATTTCCTTATTCAATTGATCGCCATGCGCGGTCAACCGAACTGTGTTCTCATTAGTTAATAAATCAAATCGATAGACGGGTAATTCAACACTGCACGATTTTGTTTCGGTTGAATTCGATTTTATGGGACGAAATTCAAATGATGTCTCATCGGACAGCACATATTCATCTTGATCATGATAGATTCTCGGATTCTTCGATACCAATGTTCGTTTATCCACAACATTTCGTTCTGTTGAGTAAATTCGATCCTGACGAGTCAATGCCAAGGCAAATCGAACAGTTGTTACGCGTTTATTTACCACATGTGGTTTATATAAATAGATTTCGAGAGCCGATAAGAAATGTTCTCTATCAACATTGACATTCGATACATCAGTTTGCATAGATCTATGAATACACATTGAGATAGACATACATGTATATATTTAATTAAACTTTCTATTTTTTGTTAAAGTAGAAGAGAGAAAAAAAGAATATATGGTTTTTATTATTTACATGAGCATTACAAGTACTTAGTACTATCGAAAAAGATAGTAAGGACGGCGCTGTTTTTAACTTTTCAGCAATCATTCATACTAGCGACCATTGGAGAGAAAGAAAAGAGAAACATCAGACAAAATGCAGTGTCAAGACTAGACAGTTTCGATCAGATAATGATAAGAATAGCACAGAGAGAAAGGGAAGAAAAAGATCGATTATTTTTACATATATTAAGATCTGGAAAGTAAAGTCATATCTGAAGACGGAAGAGTTTTCGTTTTGAAGAAATGCGCGCGCGTCACATTCGATTGATTAGTGTTGTTGCTGTTGTAACATTTCCATGAAGGCAGCATTTAAATTAAAAGAACTCGGTGATGATGGAACCATCGTTGGTAGGAAATTATTATTCGTTGGCGAATTCAATCGTTGAGTTGTTTGTAAAATTTGATGTGGATCAAATAGCATTTGGCTCTTCGGTGGTCGACCAGGGCCACGTTTCTTTGTTGCCATTAATGGGATATCAAGGCCACTCACTCCGATATCATGTGATAATTTCGTTGCGCTATTCATGGCTGATGCGGGCAAACTATGACGAGTTTGACCAGCAGAGCTCTTCGCCATTGACGCTGGTGCACCACTAGAATAGTAATAATCATGAATATGTTGCTTATGTGTGTGGACTGAACTTACTTTCTCGATACAGGAGGTGTTGGTAACGATAGACCAGTTTGTTGTCCGAGCATTGATGCCAATGCTGATTGAAAAGCTGCTGCTGTAGCTCCAGTATTATTAGATGCGATGCCATTTTCAATTGCGGCAAACAATTGATCGTAAGATGATGTCAGTGCTGCTGGGTCGAGATCAAGCGATGAAAGGCCGGCAAGACTTCGATCTGTGACATATTTTGGTGGTCGTCCACGTCGTCTTGGCGCAAAATTACCACGCTCAAATGATAATGGACTTGTTGACGTTTGCGACGTCGGTGGAATCATAGTTGTGTTCGTTGCCAGTCCAGGCGATTGCGCTTGTGGTTTCGATGGGCGACTTGTTCGTTTAGGTATGGCATCCGGTTGAGGAACACCAAGCAACTGCTGTTTGAGTAGAGAAGAATTAACTGATGCAAGGTTATCGTTTTCCGACGATGCTGAGGACATCATGAGCTGTTGTGTCATTTCCCAAAGAAGTTGTTGATGCTGTTGCTGTAAAGACAATGGTATTGATGCTTCCGATGTTTTTTGCCGTTTTGTTGCCGATGGTGATGATGTTGGTGACAGTTTATGTTTTACTAGTTGTTGTTGGGAATTTAATTGCATAGACTTTGTTAAATCACTGAACAATGTCGAAGAATCAGATAATTTCGTTGCTGTCAATGGTTCAGATCGAGCACTACAAGAAAAATCTTATTAGACGATGTTTGCCAAAGGACCTTGATGTTTACTACTTATCACACATACACACCCACACACACACACACAATGAACTCAACTATCCTAGCCTTGAATACAATACCCAGAGCAATAACTTTGAGAATTTGAGTTCTATTTACCTATGGCCATTCGAATAATGTCTTCCATTCGACATCTTTTGATTTTCGTTCATTGGTTTTTTCAAACTCATGTGTCCATTTGTTTTAATCAATGCTTTTCTTCGCTGTTCTTTAACATCTTTCACAATAATCGTGACAATGTCAGCCAGGATATCATCGACTACTTCTAAAACGTCTTCATTCTCCTCAAGGTTATTATTATTGTCGACAAAATGCGTGGTAGAGAAATCTAACTGCAGGTAATTTTGCTCAGTGAGATTGCCTTGATAAATATCATCGATTTCATTCTCATCTTCTTGATCCGATGTTAAAATTGGTTGCTCATGATGATGAACACTTGCAGGAGCAGGTTTCGGTAATGTCACTGGCAGAAGTCGTTGTGTCGATGGTTTAATCACTTCAGGAGAAAGCTGCAAACGACGTGGAACGCCTTTTCGACGACCACCACGTTCATTTTGAATCGGTTGTTGATGTTGTTGTTGCTGTTGGACTATTTGATTTTCATCATCGTTATCGAAAACTTCACTCTCATTATCATTGGAATAATAATTTCCATTGGAATGGGGATATAGAGATAAATCATCCATAAACCAAAAATTCGATGTTCACACTAACAATGTAAGATATATGCAAAGAGATCGAAAAACAACAACACTGACACACAGCACACACGTATTTTTTTGTTTGTCCAGCCTGCCGCGTCAGTCAATCACATTTCTTCTTTTCTCTCGGTTTCGAAACAATGGATTGAATATTCCATCCATCAAATGATAGCGACAGCGACCTCTATAAAGTAAATCAATCGTTCTTCTTTTTATCCATGGAAAAATGTCAATTTTCTTCAACAAAAATGTGGTTCAAACAAATAATGAAAAAGGATTTCTTCATGACTCAGACATCTGTTACCATAGCTGCAACAATTTGAAATGGTAATGATAAACCTAACAGCCGAAATGAATTGATCGAAAAGTTTTACATCTCATCATGGATAACACAACACGTCCATCGACAATTTCACCGGAATTTTCACTCTACGCAGAAAAAAACAATCTCTTCGAGCTCTTTCAGGTAAAACGAACATACAGTTAAATCAATGACTTGGAAGAGGAAATAATCACACACTCTTCGTTATAAAAAGCGCATATTAGACTAACATCACGCCGCCGTTTTCTCATTCGTGTTTAATAATCAAAAGAGAACATATGGACTCGATAATCTTTTTAGCGATGTACGTCATCATTGCTTATCGATCGGCCGGATGATCCGTTGACATATCTAATTGATTTGCTTAACAAGGATTTCGATGGTAAATAGTATATGTTTGCTTACAGGATGAAAGTCTTGCTTTCTAGCACCGAAAATCATTATTCTTGGCCCACCGGCGTCGGGCCGCCATACTATTGCAAAAATGTTGCAGAAGAAACTCAATGCAGTTGTAATCGAACCGAGCAAACTTCTACAAAATATTCCACCGAAATTCAAAGATCAATTGCCGCCGAATGCAAATTCCGTATGTAACCGACTCAAGAGTCCAATGTGTTTATTGAATGCTTATCGAATAGAATAATATCTCTGCATCGTTCTGGGCAGAGTTGTATGAGCATCGTTTCAAAGATTTCGATTGCTTTCGTCAAGGATGGATCCTAGTCGATTTCCCCGCTAATCGAGAGCAGACGTTAGCATTACAATCAAGAGGAATCTTTCCGAAACATGTCGGTCAGTACTTCTCGACAAAACAACACTACGGACGTCTCTAATCGATTTATATTTAGTATGTTTGGAAGCACCGGATACTGTTTTGATCGAACGCGCTGTTGGAAAACGAATTGATCCGGAAACACAAGGTTGATTTTGACGATATTTATTGTATTTGCTCGGATATTGATGATTTAGATGTTTATCACATAACATGGAACGTTCCAAGTTCACATATTGTTCAAGAACGCTTAGTGCAATTAGAAGAAAACTCTGAAAAGCAAATGATTTTACGTCTAAAAGAGTATCGAAGGTATGACTTTATTCATTCTATACATCACTTATTGATGTCTCGTCCAATCAGAAACATCGATGGTGTGAAAGATTGTTTCAAGTCAATTCTACGTGCAATCAATGCTGATCAACCGTTGAACGATATTTTTGCTCAAGTTCATTCTTACATCAGCCGAAAACCCCGCTCAGTCGTACCACGTACTCCAAGGGTTGTTATTCTTGGACCAACTGGCAGTGGACGGAAGACAGTGGCAATAAAAATTTCACAAAAATACGATATACCTCTAAGTAAGACGTGCAAATAGGTCAGATTGTTGCTCTATCATTGTTAAAAAACGATGTTACACTTTGATATGAAAGTGAGAGATGAATGAGATCGAATTTCAAGACGTCGCGCAGATCAAATTCAATTCTTCCACGTCTCGAATGAATATTCTTTCATCACTTTAGTATCGATTCCAACGTTGATCAAACAACAAATCGCCAATAAAACATCTATCGGTAACACTATGAAGCCGTATGTAGCTCGACAATCATTAGGTAATAAAGTACACGACGATACTTGCGCATATAAAATCGTTTTATGATAGTTCCTGATGGTTTACTGATGCAATTAATTCGAGAACGTTTGAATCAGAAGGATTGTACTACAAAAGGCTGGATTCTAATTGGCTTTCCTCGTACACGTGAACAAGCAGAAAGCTTAGCACGCACATCTATTACTGCACCGAATCGGTAAGATCTCATGGAAATCAAAAGATATTCATTGTGAAGATGTTCATCTATAGAATTTTCTTTCTGGACATTCCGCTTGACGTGGCTTTGGAACGGTTGAGTCAACGATCATTGGATCCCATCACTGGCGGTCGTTATCATTCGCATGATCATCCTGTCTCGAGTAGTGAGATAAAACGACGTTTAGTTCAACATCCAACTGATAATAATGAAATCGTACGAAAACGTTACGAAGAATATATGATTTATCACGATGAATTGCAAGAATTCTATTCCCAACAGGACGCCATTCATGTTCCTGCCGATCAAGATGCTTACACTGTCTTCGAAGCGATCGAATCTGGCATTCTAAATCCACTAAGTAAAGATGAATACTAGAAATGCGAAAATAAATCAATTGCTTACACGAAATCTTATTTACCATTGAAAACACGATAAATTTAATAAAATATCACAGCATACATGCGAGGAATAATAGTAGATTTTTCATTTGATTCGAGTAGTCGTCGAACATACTTAAGTGCTTCGATCTCTGCCGAAGATGTATGCTCGACAAATTCATAGTAATGTCATTGTCTTCCTACGCATGTGCTTATCAGTTAATCGAGACGCTCTCGAAATGCATCAGGTGTTCACCTACGAGCTGATATTTATGGGTTACTCCATTTGTTTAGCTAGCGTCATGAATATTTGATGACTAATCGTTGTAAATATTATTAGGGTAATTGACTGTTTACTTATTGATACTGTTTGTTTGGATTTGACTGAGTAGCATGATGTGTAAGGAAGATTAGCAAAATTTGTCAAAAAAGAAACAATTTATCTAAAAAAAGCAACTCACAATGAAGTCTCCAAGGAGCAAAAAAGAAAAGAGAAAATTTGTCCTTTATATCTTCTGTCAAGCAACACGCGAACGAGAAGATCTAATGTAATTACCAGGAAATTACTTAAATTATATTAATTTTCTCAAGCATGAATTGAACATCGAGATCTATTCATCAGTTTTAATAATATGTAAATGAGTCAAATATGTCTATCAATCACTATCGATCGTTTCTCATCTTGCAGATCACATGATCAGTTCTTACTCCGGCAACACATCTATTAATCTACTTGATGGAATCTTATACATTATTAATTTCGACTTCACCTGCTAACGATGATTAAATCCTCGTCAGATCTATGACAAAAAAAAGTCATCTTGTCAAGTGAAGAAATGTCTATTCCTTAGATATTATTAAGTTGAAAATGATGGAAATCTGCGAAATTAAATTATGAATAACAGAATGTTCTAACATCATTCGTTGCCATTATGTAGCTTGACTCGTTGACTAATAGACATGCGCTTTCTTTTCTTATCGCTAAAATTGGACAGAAACACTCTAATAATGTCGACATGAATCGATGTAACGCTCTTCTCCGTCTTCGTTTTGCTTTTCTTCTTCCGCTTTTTCTTCTTCCTGCAACTATTGCTCTCTTTTTTTCCTCGATAGCGATATCTCTTTCGGCTTGTGATTGCCGACACTTCCTTTATTTTCATTTGGTGTGCGTTACAAGCAAGTAGAAAGTTGACAAAAGTGAAAATAACTTGTCCGAACATCTCCTATCATGGGTTCCGAAACGTCGAAATCGAAAAAACGGGCAACACATCTCGCTGAAGAAGAAGTCCAACTATTATTAAAGAACACGCATTTTAATCGACAGCAAATTATGGAATGGCATCAAGGTTTTCTCGTAAGTGTGTGTGTGTGTGTTTTGTTCGTTGAAAATCGATGTCTTTATCGACGCAAACAATCTCAATTGTTTGTTTATTTACTCTTCCATCCTCTGCGTTGCATAAGACGGCAAAATATGTTGATGAGATAATTGATCTGTCGATAAACATCTTCAAAGATATGGTAACCTTTTCACAGGATATGCTTACACATTTTCTAATTCGACTTGTTAATATTCTAAGATAACGAAGTATTATTAACAACTTGTTTATGCTTGATTTTTTTCTCTGCCAATAATTTAATTACTTATTCATGTTCTTTTCTTTCACTGATTTATGTTACAGCGTTCGATTTGACTTTTTCCCCCTCTCGCCTTCCTTCAATCGATTCAGACGAGCAGGCTTTACAATGAGACATTCACGTCTACAAAGGTTGATTGTCATTATCATCAGAGACGAGTCTTCTTTTTCGGTAACATTTGGCTATCAATTCCTTCCAGTCCAATGATACACTTCTCCTGAAACGTCAATAATCATCGATCTCGCCGAGTATTTCGCACATCTGTTATGTTAATAAGCACAAACACATCGAAGACAATTTTATCTAAACATTAGTTTCATCGAACAGATAAGAAGGTCACATGCCATCGTTTGTTTGAGCAAAGTTCCTCAACTTGACGATTTCTTGAAAACGATTCTTCGAGTACGAAGACATCAAATGATGCAATCCGTCGTTTGCATCTACCTCAACAGTTTATCTTAATCGAACAGACTTTTTTTGACGCCTCGCTTCTCAATCAAAAGAACTCGTTACCAATATCATCGTTTGCCTACGCATACATATGCTAAATTTCGACGGACGCGTTAATAACCTCATAAAAAAAAACAAAAGATCTCGACTAATAATATGTATGAAAGGCCAAACTTGAACTTCGGAGTGCTTATTTCCGTTGGAGCGAACGGAAATCTTGACATTGATAGGGCATTTTCTTTTGTTGTTAGTTATGTATATGCTCAACTCGTTTTAGAAAGACTGCCCAAAAGGCAAACTAGACAAGAAGAAGTTCATCGAAGTCTACAAACAGTTTTACCCAAGTGGCAAAGCAGATAAATTTTGTTCACACGTGTTCAAAACTTTCGATACTGATAATTCAGGAGAAATCGGTATGTCGATCGTGATTCTCTTTGTGCAAACTCATTCTTTTCCATTGATTAAAGACTTTGTCGAATTTCTCATCGCTATATCTGTAACATCTCACGGAGACATACGAGAAAAACTGAATATGGCATTCAACATGTATGGTAAGGATGACAGTGATGGAATGTTAGGAAATATTTCGTTTCTCTCTTGTCTAGATATCGATAAAAATGGACGAGTAGATTCGAAAGAAATGGAACAAATCGTTACTGTATGACTGAAAGCTTCGCTTGATGAAGGCATTCTTTTTTTCTTCTTCTAATTTAGGCTATTTACGATCTACTTGGAGAAGAGAATCGTAAAGGTGAAAACTCGCCATCGAAGCGTGTAGAAAAGATCATGAATAAACTCGATGTCAATGGTGATCGTTCGTTGACCAAAGATGAATTCATCAACGGATGCTTACAAGATGACTTTTTGAAGAACCTTTTGGCACCGAATGCTTAACGATCACTCGATAAAAAAGCAATGTCTTGGAAAAGAAAAAGAAAAGCTTTTGTTTGTCGTATGTCTTGTTATTGATGTTTCACTTTCAGAATAAACTAATAAATTCGGATGAAGACTAGTGAATCGTTACTCGCCAACATGTTTAATTAGGAAAGAAAATCTATTTATATGGACGAAAGAGTTTTACAGATTAATCAGAAGAAAAAGAGATAATCATCTTACTTTTGCAAATTAAGAAAATATCATCAAAGTCGTTTGAATTCAACCGTTAAAGTTGTATGTCGTGACGTTGTGGCATGATATTCGTCGACTTTTCTTCAAACTCAAATCCCGCCAACATGCAAGGTAAGACTTGATGACAAATGTTAAACATCTCCGTTTCGCAACGAGTCACATTGAGAATTTTCGAAGTAGATGTCAACGCATCTGTTATCACTGACGAATCAATGCAAATTATCAACAAACACAAGGAGCAATTATCTTGTCAACACATGAAGTAATAATCTCCGATGTTCTCTGGCAACCAGCAAGCATGATTGATCTCCAATGCGATGTAATTGTAATAGATAAGACGCCGTTTGTGCGTGCTGAGTGCCTTCGCTCACGCCGATAAATGAATGTGACAATTCGGAATTAATAATTATTTGAAATGTTCGTTTTAGCGATGCTGTTAGCTAAACATGCGTTAAAATTATTAATAGTGACAGAAATATTGATAATGTATGATCGCTTGGTGTCATTACAATTTCCGACCTGCAATCTTTTGCGTTTTGTGAATCGTGCTCATGGATTTCTCTGTAAGGAATGAGTAGGGAGCAGAAAGAAGTTATTTCACATGGCGGGATGCCGTCACCGAGTCGGATTACGCGAACTATCTCGGTTTGTTTCTCATTAAAAAAATTGATTTGGACTGGCACGAGTAAATTGATCTAAAATTGCCACACTATTATACTCGTCTGTCTATCACAAACACAACCTTATATGTTTTCTTTTGTTCAAGCAAGATTGAGTTCAAGGTTCTTCTTCGAGCCGTCGGAATACCGTTTTTGTCATTAACATTCTATCAGACGAGAGTAGAGCTGAGCACAAGATTAGAAGAAGTTAATTGACTTAAGCCAAAAAAGAATTCGATGATGTCCATATGATATTGCTCGAGAACGAACAGGTGTTTATCAATCTAATTGACATTAAGTTTTCGAGAACGATACAATCAGATCAAGATTCTCTTTTATTTGATTGTTGTTCTAACGGAAATGACATCGACGGGATATAGGATTCTTCTTCTCCTTATTATTCTCACGCGTTTATGCATTCATCGTCATAAGTAGAAAATAGAGATTTTTCAATCTCAACCAAGAAGATAAAAAATAGATTGTGTTTACGCAGAAAATGCACGTTCTCCTAGGGGCACAAGAGAAAGAGCACATCGAAGATGGAGAAGAAAACGATGCATTGAGAACAAATCTATGAGTCAAAGTGATAGTGCGAACAATTTGATATTAACGTTTTTTTTCTCAGCTTTTAGATGTTCAAGTTTGTCGACAGACGGATGATTTAATCGAATGGATGTGCTTGAATTGCCTCATCCGGTTATTAACTTTCTCCGCACAATGACGAAGGAGAGTTGTCGTTATGTACTGTCGTGGGACATTTTCGGTGCGACGGATTCAGTCACATTGACACTCACATGGAAATTGATTGATGGCGAATCGTCCCTGTTAACACCGAAATGTTCGCAAGAAATTCAAGATTTCTCCACTAAGAGTAATCATTCCATATTATCTTCGCATCGTTCTCGTCGAGATGAAACTCCTTTAATTCGTGCGTCAAGAGGCAAAAGTCTTGAAGGAAATAATCCAATGGCAGACAAACAAATTGCTTTTTCTGCGCAACATCATGCATCAAGTTCCGAACGTTCATCAACAATTAATCAGCAACAGAATGAATCCGAGCCAATCTACGCCAATGTATGTCGAATTAAATATTCGACGAGTCCTTCATCATCGTCATCCCTGCATAAGCACCTACCTACATCTATCCCACATCGAAAAGACAGAGCATCAGTACCGATTGTTGGAAAATTAGTTTCGAAATTTGCACGACCAAGTTATAGTGCGCATTCAACGAATGACAATAATGGCGGTGAAGATGATACGGATGATCCGTGGGTGAAACGTTTTGACAATCTACTAGAACGTACGCCTTCTGATATCATAGAACATTCGCCGCAAAAAACCATTGAACCAATTATAGCGTCTGGTAGAGTTAAATTTAAGAAAAAACCGGAATATATCTGACCCATTCTCGCATTTCGATTTGTCATTTTATTAAACTAGCTGAGTCCAACGGTTTGATAAATATATTTAGTATGAACTAATCGTCCTGACAAAATTCATTACTGTCATATTATGTTACAAAACACTGCCTTTCTTGCTCGCTTGTTTCTTCTTCTTCTTCTCTCTCTAATTGTAACAAAAGATGAGCATGGCACTTAATCTTCTATATACAGTTACAATTTTATAACTGCTTTCGTTATAGTGGATCAGAATAAAATCTTCCTGTGATGTGAGTAAATTGGGTACATCACTATCTTATAGCTATCCGGTTGAAGACCACAACTTCAAGCAAAACATCGCTGTGTAGACTGGACATGTATACGCTGAGGTGAGGTAAATATATTTTTCCAAATGAAAAAGAAAACTCAAAGTACGTTGTACACAGAGAAAGAGAAGTTATTTAAAATTGTTATTGCTGCCTGCTTGATATTCCACGGCTTTACGTCGCAAAGAGGCAATACTCGAACCACGCCAAATATCTTCGTTGTCAGTAGTCATTACATCCACTGCCAATGTGGAAGATGACGAAGGAAATGGCAAATTGTACGATGATACTGATGAGCAAGAATTTAACGGATCGATATTGATTATCGACGGTAGGGCACTCGAAAAGAGTGAGGTTGTCGATGCTGCCGAAGGTGGTGGTAGATTAACATAATCAGCCATGGCTGTTGATGAGTAGAAGTGTGGAGTCAGTGATTGATCCATCTAAAGGAAAACTATATGATAGTCGAACTCGTATAGATGAACTCGCGCAGTTACCTGAGAAAAATTTGCCGATGAGAACGGAAACTGATTACAATTATTGGCTGCTGTCGTACCCGACCATTTCACATGATGATGGTGATGATGATGATCGGATTGATTCAACGGTGTCTGCCCATCGATTGCTGTGTTAATTAAACATCCGTATGGAGTTAACGATTGTGGGTGTTGAGATGGATAATGTTGACGGAAAACATTCGTAGTTTTCTTACGCTTTTTCCATTTAGCGCGTCGATTTTGAAACCATACCTTTAATAAGAGACATATACTAAAACGAATCGATTTTTTCGAATGATTTTACCTGGACACGAGACTCAGTTAAACTAATGCGCACGGCTAGTTCTTCTCGCATGAAGATATCTGGATAGTGTGTCTTACTAAACGATCTTTCAAGCTCATTGAGTTGCGCCGGTGTGAAACGTGTCCGATGTCGTTTCGGTTTGGCTATTGTTAATGGCGATGAGGAAGAAAGCAGTAACTTATTCGATGATGACGATAGGCGAGTATCATCGTGAGAATTTGATGCTGTTAATGAAGATGATGATGATGATGAAGTTCTTGTTGTCGTCGGCGGAGAAAATCGATTATTTCCATCAATTGTTGACAATGAATGGCATGCTAGACGAACTCATAAAAAGTGAAAGTGTTTCTCACATGAATACCGTTTCTTCTATCACCTTAATTAAAACTTGATTTCCTTACCTTGTTGCTCCTGTTTGCCGACAGCTTGATCGCTGATACAATCACTGTTTATATTGAACATATTCAAATTCAATTAATAATACTGTTCTCCTCTCTAACTCAATTAATTAGATCGATGTTTGACAAAGATATGTTTCTCTATTGGACTTGTCATTCTCTCTTTCTATATATATATATATACAGTACATTAAAAAAAGACAAGAGAGAAAATGTTTGTGCCAAGCAATTGATTTTTTCTTTCCGGGCACCTGCTTCAGAGAACCAATAGTAATTTTTAACCAATCCCGGCCTGATGTGCCTTCAAGCACATCCGTTACATATAGGAAACATACACGCGACAATGTCATTATCAGATTATCATATTCTATAAAACAAAAAGAGAAATTTATATAGATATATATACGAAATATATCTCGTAGCGTGTTTGAAGCGGGGGAATGAATGAATTCATTTTCTCTAATCATGATACACAACGGATGTAATGAGAAACAGGAGATGAATTGATGATGCGAAAAAACAAATGAATCAAGCCCTGTATTCATAAGTGAGTGTGTAGAGAATTCAATACGATTAACATAAAAAGCAAATACGGAACGTATGACGAGAAATCATGTTTCTCCCTAAGTTTCAGTTCAAGCGCCACGTGCTTGACAGAGAAAATGAAATGGATTTGTTTAAATCTTACGCCAATCGAGAGATTTGTCTTTCTTTTCTGTCGATTCGTTGGAAGCTTTCGTTCGCGTAGAAAAACGAATTTGTTCGTTATTGAGTCATTCGTTTTGCTAAGTGTTGTCGATTAATTGTCGAGTGAATATGATGATGAAACTTCGACGACGACGACCACTGTCTGTATATAATGCAAGTCCTGTTTCCAATAGTTCCAGTTCGGCGGCGGATCAACCATCACGTAAACGGCACCGAAAATCATCCCATCGGTCTTCGTCGGATCCAGACGAGAACGAAAATGACTTGGAAAATCAGTCGCCACTTTTAACTTCTGATGGTACGAAGAACTTTTATCCTTCGAGCGATAAGATTTTCAATGATTTTTTCAGAATCGGACGATGATGATCGTAGTAGTGGAATTAAAACTCGATCAATTGCGGCTGCCAAGAGAACAATTCCTCAAATAAGCGAAGATGAAGATGATGAGAATAATGAAAGCGAAGAATCAGGATCGGAAATTGAAGCAACACCAGTCATAAAACAAACGAAAACGAGGATGGTCACACGACAAATGTCGTTGATTATAAATCAGCAAGTGAAACTCAAACCGAATGTTAAAGTTCAGCCATTCGTCGATCATACTGAAGATACGTTAAGGTGAAAGAAAACTTCTTCGCGTACTACTTCTCTAATCTTTCTTTCTTAGCGAACATGGAGAAAATCAGTCATGTCGACGTCTTCGTTCAAGACGTTTAAATCAGAACAACGCACATTCCGGTGACAGCGGCGCACAATTTTTCATTCGCATCACTCCTGTTGATGATGATGATACGTCTCAACCGGCAGCTTTTTCTTCGATTAAAAAGGAAAGTCTTTTTTACTACACAACACCTGAACGTCCAGATGATGCTGACATCGACTATGAACAACTAGTCAATCGGACGCGAATCAAACCAGCAACAATGGATCAATGTAATCAAGGACAATTGCTACCTGAGGAGAATCTCGACGAGGGCAATAATACACGACCAACGGAATTGATACCGTATCTGCTTGAACTCGAACAAAGTCTAATGCCTGTTTTGCCTATCATAAAACAAAAGAAGAGTAAGCAAAGAGGGATCGGCAGAAAAGTTTCTGAAGAATTCTTTTTCGTTAGAATCGGCCAAAGCGAATCAAGTGATTTATCAGCGTCGTTTTCAAACCCTACTTGATTATTTATATAGTTCTCAACGCTGTGGGCAAATCTCGGAGTTGATACGTCTTCATCTTCGCTCGAGACTTGTTCTCAACACACTTTTTCTAACTGTGAATCTATTCGATCGTGCTATTCTAACTGGTCAGATACCCAAGGAGTCGTATACCAATGGTAATCCTCATTTATTATTGACCTGTTTACTGATCGCAGGAAAATTTGAAGAAGTTGAAGTAAGTTCGAAGCGAAGCCATACGAATTTCATAGAGATTATTTTACTGTGTCTCTCTTCAGTGGCCAAGCATTAGTTCTCTGATTGCAAATCGTGAACCATTAACTGCACGTGATATCAAATCCTTAGAAATTGTTGTACTTCAATCATTATCCTTCGACATTGGTCTAACTGTCTTAGATTTTGTGTATCGCTACTGTGAAATCTCACCCATGGACAAAGCCAACGATGATCTTCGTCTTTTATTTTTTATTTTACAACTTTTATTAATCGATCCTCATACTTTCATTGCACATAAATCTTCATACATAGCTGCTTGCTCATATGCACTCGTACGGCATTTAAAACAGTATGAAGTGTAAGCTGTTTCGTATTTTCAATTGATGATTCGATATACTTTGACTTTTTAGAACATGGCCTCGTCGTTTAGCTCGATCGACGGGTTACGATCCAGACGAAATAGCCTATGGCGTGACGAAAGTTGCTGCACAATGTTTACGTGCTCTATCATCTCATGATCAACAGGAACCAATCCATCGCGATTTACTCCATAAATACAACAAAGGTCCAGCTGCACAATTGATAAACTATACTCAAGCATTGAATGACTTGATTCAACCAGCAGTCGACGAAACTGATTAACAATGAAGACAATTTTTTATTCTCATAGTTCAATTACGTAGCCTTTCAACAGATGAAACCAAACTAAATAATTATTTTTCTATATTTTTCTTTCCCATGAACAAAATGTATATGAATGTAGAACAAAAAAAAATAACAGGAAGTAGAATGTATCACAATCGTAACTGACTGAATATAGACAGAAAAAAACATGTCTCATAGCACAGCTCACGTTCATAATTTAGTATGTAATATCGATTCATCGTCATTATCGTTGTCATCATCGGTACTGTATTGATCACTTGCGTAACTAAGATTTTTCGACGAATTGAAAGTGATCATTGGAATGGGCCGAGAAGAAATACCAGTTTGATGAAGATTATCTATGAGAAAAGAATATTTATAACACATTTTCGTGATGTTTTTTTCCCTCGATGATGCACATACCTAATGACCGTGCTTTTGTTTTTAGTGTCGGTTTTTTTGTCAACGGTGTCATACTGATTGATGAGATGGTGGGTTGATAGGAATAGCGCCTTGATGACGGCAAATGTTCGGCAGTCATTACCCAAGCACCTGAATATCATTCGAATAGCATGATTAACTGGAGAGAAAGAATGGAATACATACGAATATCCACGATATGCTGTTGTAACGCCTGAATCCACATGTTCAGTGTGAACAGATCGTGAACAAAGAAATCTTCTTGATCAAAACCTCGATTATAGATCGAAAATGATAAATGATCGTTCCTTGATAAAATCAGCGTGTCCTAAACGATCACAAATCATTCATATATACATTCAGATCTATTTGTCTTACTGGCGTAATAGGTATTGAAATTCGGTTTGGTTCAACATAATCGTTTCGCATGATTTCTTCGCCATTCAAGGATCCACCAGTTAATATACAAGAATAGGATCGATTGTTATTTTGGACAATACCAGCGAATATTCCTGATCGTGTGTAGCATACAGGTTGAATAAGAAAACGTGACATACAGCTGTTGTCGATCGGTAATTGCATGAGCGGATTTTGTTGGGAAGGCTCAATGGTCAACGTACGAGCTTTCGGCATTTTGTGAACACTTTCTTTGGTGTAAGTGGTGCGAGCGATCAGAACGAATTTCGATTGTTTTTGTTGTTCAGTCTTGGCATTTTCCGGTTCTTTACGTCGAAGTCGCGGCGATCCAAACGTTGAGAAGTAACTGTATCGATCTGCGAAATCTTTTGCAGCCGAAGATACAGCTAAACTTTTATTTAGCGCATAGATTTCGAGATGCAATTCAAAATTTTGTGAAACATTCTCACTGATAGAACGAAAAAGAAGATCGATTGTGCAAGTAGCCGACTGAAAAAGAAACAATTCAACTTACAATACCAGTTGATCTGTAAAGATGACTTCCGTGGAATGTTTATCGATAAATTTCAACTGTGTATCGATGATCTCACAGCCAATACGTGCCAAACAGAATACAGCGAACTTCTTTTGATCTATTCAGGTGAATTTTTTGATTGACAAAGAAAGACTTCGATTGATTCAAACCTGTTTTGGCTTTTTTCATCTTCGACCATTGCAACGGTAAACGGATATCGGAGAGAACAACAGTGGCTTTTGTTGGTTCAAGACTTAAGAAGAAAAAAAAAAGGATTATCTGGATTGTAGAAAACATTTCTCTACGTTGTATCATCGCGTCGAAGTAAATTCTGTTGTTTTCGTCTGATTTCAGCCATAAAAGCTAGCATACGTTGTTGTGAAAGTATCAGAGCTTTGTTACACTCAATAGTTTGTTCAACTGTTGTAACTACATGAAGTAATTTACTAATCCCATCGATCATTTTCACTTCACAGTCAATTTTACGTTCTAACTCAGGGTCCTAGAGAAAGATTGTCGAGAAACGAACTTCAAAGATTCAATGATCACATACCCATATGAAAAATGAGACTATGCGTTTATCTGGATTTGCACTACTCGCACTCATCGTCTGATGAAAATGTGAATTCTCGCTGTATTTGATTCTCTTTCGTCGTGCATTTATATACATACGTATATATATGACACGAAAAGTAAATATATGACTAAGAAAGTTTCGTTGCTCACCTTTCGTTCGTAGGTGGAAACCATTTATTGATTATTCATCGTACGTCTGTTTATGACTCTTCAAGGCTTATGTTGATCTTTCGAAATTTTAACGAAGAAAAAATATGCTTCACCGTTTTTCGTTTGATTGAGAACCCGGGTGTTGCAGCTACTATATTCTCCAATTTTGCTGAACACCAAGTGTTTGTTCCACAAAATAAACAATGAATTACTGAGCTATCGGCAAAAGAAAAGTAATAATCTGCTCGCAAACTGTTCCATCAATTAGACCACCTTCTTAGTACTTGTGGCTTTATCTATTGTTTATCTAATACTTTCCTCTGCCTATGCCAACATATTTGGATCCCAGTGAGGAAATGTCTTGCCAGAACAAGAATGATCATACGTGATAGAATGAATATGAAATAGGAAAGAGCAATCAATCGTCTTCATTTAGGTGAAAGTTAAGAGATTCGACACAGAGTGAATAGAAGATTTGTGGAGGATCAAAGATGAACGAATTTTGCTGCGTGTGAAAATATGACCAAGATTTCTTGTCGTAACGGAAACTGAATGAGAAAAAGATATACTGATCGAAGAAAAAAACAAACAAGAGCGATATCAAAAAATGTTAAGATAAAATTACCATGGAATGTATTTTCGTTCTCATCACGTTTGGACAAGAGATATGCGTTTGTTTAGATTATCTCTATATGCGGGAACATTTATTATGATTATGTCACCGTCTGTATCCAATCTGAATTAAATTAAGGTAACCTTTGTTCAAAGAAATTTAAATTTTCCAAGAAACTTTCGTAAAGTATTATCTAACAAATAACTTTTCTCGTTTTGACGTCAATTAAAGATGCTGATACATTACTTGCTCATCTCAATATACTTGAATAGATCACCTCGCATACAGGTCAACTTAAAAATAAAACACATGTGATACAAGAATGCATGCCATCTGCTACGGCTTAGATGCCATTGTTTACATGTTATGATATTCCAGCATGTTCGCTCTCCCGCCAGAAGATGGGCGCACCAACGCAGATCCATTCCTTTTTTTTTTTATCAAGGATGCGTGGGCAAATTATGCCCAAAAACAACGTCGAGTATTTTGTTTCCTTAACCGTTCGAACGTATAAATATCTATCGAAATTACGTGAGAAACTAACCTCTCTTCTTCATTACATTTATTCAAGAGAACTACACTTTTATGCTCAACTATGTACGTTGAGCAGCAACAAGATATTGTAGAAGGTCCTGAACAAAACCAATATTCGCAACTCTCGCGGTAAGTTTTACCTTTACACATTGGATTTTGCTCATAGTCAATATAGGTTTAGAATTCGGAACATATTCAGGCCCTCCAGATGCAGCACTTTAGCCACTACACTGATCTTGCTCTCAATGATCAGCATCAGTGTAGGATTTTCTATTGCAGACGTCGATTCAATCGATCAGGTTTCGACAAAACAATCCGTCGTGGTCGAACATCCTAACAAACGAATACACCGTGCACTATCTCGTGTATGACAACTTTACACATAATTTTGATTTCTCTCATTCACTCGATGAATAGGCCGATGAACCAGATGACCGTGGTTACTTCAACGTTTATATTCGTGAATCCTGTCGCGATGGGCGCTACAATCCATACAAAGAAATTCGCTTTCCATACGCTCGATACGAACGTCAACGACTTCGTAAATATTTCATCTTCACTAAAACCTAAACAACGAATAAAATTCTTTTTCCATTTCCAGGATATTCGCCAGCTTGGATTCGGTTTTCCCGATGGATGCCGATCTACGTCAACCGATTCACTCGCCATACGATGCTTTATTCAGGAAATGGAGGTAACTTACCAGTTCAAAAGCACAGATAACTCTAAAACTATATTTTTCCTAGTGTATATTTTACCTCCATTGATTAACTACAACTCAAAAATGATTTCCGTCGCCGAATTGATGGCCTATGGTTACGCGACACTGATAAATACAGGTGTCCCAATGCCATCTCAATTCAACATAGCGTACTATGCAGTATCTGGTTCATGTAAGCACATAAGCGCCAGGTCAATAAATGCACACTAAACAAAGTTTCCATATATTTTAGACTACATGCGAGGTATGCCGCGTTTCAATCCAGCCACGAGAGCCTTCATGGGTGGAGTACAAGCTCCATCTCGCTCAGAATATAATCCCGACTGCGACAGCAGCTATGAAGAGCACACCGGTGATGAGCAACCCTTAGGTTATGGCACTGAACAAGACGATCAGCCAGACACACCGAACACCTACGAACAAGGTTACGACCCAGACAACCAGGAACCCTCCAGATATTCCGGAAGAGATCCCGACTACAACTACGAGTATCCTGATCGAGATCACTACCACTACCGACCCAGACATCGTCCAACAAGACGCCGTCCAAGTAAGTATAATAAACTTCACTCATAATCAGTCCTTTCCAGCAAAACTTAACCCATCTCACTCATCAGCTAATAACACCCACCAGAACACCGAAACCCATTCACCCTCCATCGCTAAACTCTTAGCCACCGCTATATAGAGACCACAGAAAACAAATCATACCCAACCGCCTTCCACTGCCACAAAGCACCACAGATAAATAATCCCACCGTTGACCACAACCGCTGCCCAACAATCAGACACACTCGCTTTCAAAACCAGCTCCTACTTTCATTCAGAGTACACGTCGAAACCTGCAACCCACCATCAAACCACCATGCTAACAACACACAGCACAACACATAGTACTACCCATTCAACAACTCATGAGACAACAACTCATAGTACTACGCACTCAACAACACACAGCACCACTCACAGCACAACACACAGTACTACCCATTCAACAACTCATGAGACAACAACTCACAGCACTACGCACTCAACAACACACAGCACAACACATAGTACTACCCATTCAACAACTCATGAGACAACAACTCACAGTACTACGCACTCAACAACACACAGCACCACTCACAGCACAACACACAGTACTACCCATTCAACAACTCATGAGACAACAA